TGAAACCAAATCTATCGAAAATAATCAAAAATTTATTTATTTTTTATATATAATAAATAATCCCAGTATGTACTCTAAACCTTAATTCTTTATTTCATATACATATAAAAATAATAAATTATCTCAAACCTCCATAATTTATTTTATTTAAATTTCATTTTTTAAATATATATGAATATCATTTTTGGCTTGAATAATTTTTAAAAATCACTCAGATAGATCAAAATGTTCATTTTAAATAGTTAAAAATTAATTTTTATATAAGTTTAAAAAATGATATAAATAGATAAATATTAATTTAAATTTAAATACATGTACATATATACACTCAATTGTACAAAGCTTAATTTTTAGAATATCATCCAAATTTTTTGAAATTCATCAAAGTAGATGAGATTTGAATTTCAAATACTTAAAAAATAATATAAAAATTAATAATTTATTTCGTGTCTAACTTCAAATCTCAATAACATATTTTATATATATTAAAAAATAATACACCATCTCAAACTTAGTTCCAAACCTAATTTTGAAGTATAAAATTGTAAAAAAGACATTTCGAAATACAAAATTACAACAAGCTTAAAAGTAGACACGTGTTATTCTCTCATAACTTTATTTTTATATATATAATGATATTAATATGCCTGAAATCTGCATTTTTAATTGCTATTAATATTTTATCATTTTGTTTTTATATATGTTCAGTTGATTTTTCACACCCTCCTTGCTAATGAATCTTCTTTAATTATTAAAAAAAGTCTATTGAAAACTGAGAGTCTGAGACAGTAGAGATCAGCATGACCCACCCATATGACCCCACTCTTGGACAGATCGAGGTTCTAATTTTTGGGGTCCTGTAACTATCTTTAGAGATTGTTATAGTTTCAAGGCCACTCAGCCGATTGGATTTATTTTCATCAATGCCCCTTTTTCCACAGTAGTTCGTATTTAATGGGCGTGGGCTGGAGGGCTAGTACATGGCAGTTTTAGGTTTGAATGGCAATTGGATCATTATTGATTGCGTTCTAGGCTCCAATGTCTCCCAATTACCCAATTAAACACGCCCAGTTATGCCTCGCTTGGTTGTTCCTTTGTTGACCTGATTTTGTCGTTAAACACTCCTTCCATTTTAATATTAATTCTATTTATAAATCATTTTTAATATTTTTTTATTTTAAATTATAAAATACTTTTAAATAAAATCTTACATACTAATAAACCTTATTGAATACACTTAACAACTTTATTTTTTTAAAATAAAAATATAAACTTTTAAAAATACTCATTATTTAATACATTGAAAAGAAAAAATATGAAAATTAATTATAAAAAGAGAAAGGGTAATATTAAACTTAATGCATTTAATGAAACTTTAATCTACCCAAAGTGTCTTATATTTTGAGATCAAAAAACTTTTTTAAAAGTGCCCTATAATTTAAGATGGATGAAATATTTTATTAGTATTAAAAAAATCTTTAAACTCATTAATTTTATCTTAAAATTTAATATGTTATTAACTTTTTTCTTATTAAATGTACACACTTAAATAACATATTTTCTCGTTTCAACATTTAATGGAGGGTAAAAAAATTATAATAAAAATTTAATGATATAACTTATAAATAGAATTAAAAAAAATTCTTTTCTCTCTGCCCTATAAATAAGACTAGAGGGAATAAATTATAAAATATTTTTAGATAAAATCATTTTGGATAAAATTATATATGTCAATAAAAATTATTAAATATACTTTATATTTTTTTAAGACAAAAATATAAACTTTTAAAATATTTTTCATTTAATACTTAATTTATAAAGAATATTAAAGAGAGAATATACGAGAAGGGAAATGTAAAAAAATATCATTATCAAAATTTTATTTTTATTAAAATGTCTCATATTCTGTGATACAGAATCTTTCCCAAACGTATATTATAATTTGGGACAAAGTAGTACTATTCTACTCATTATCAATATATTTATATACAAATCTCATAGCTTCAACCTGACTGATTAAAAAAAATAACTCTCATTGATTAATAAATTTCAGGCTAATGTTAATATAAAAATTTCTCTTGATTCATTAATGAGATTTAATTTTTTTATTTTTTATTGTATTTTCAGTCCACTTTCATGGGAGCATTAATTCAAGAGCAATTTCATTTTTTAAGTTTCCTTGATCGTTATCATGAATTCCATCCGACTATCTTTCCCTATTCATTATATTTTTTATACCTTTTCAATTTTCCCAATCAATGAGATTAAATTTATTTTTCTATTTTTCATGTATTTTTTTGTTTCACTGTTATCAATATCAATCAACTCTCATCTATAAATATTATTGAAAAAAAGGGAAAGAAGAAATTTAAGTTTAATTTAGATCATCAATCATTATTTTATAGTCTTGGCTCTTCAAATTGTGCATGTTTCACCATATATTTTGCACTAATAAGATAATGTGGCGACTTTTCATGTTTTCACATCGAAGAAGCAAGGCAAAAATAATTCAACGGACAATATATATTCAATTCTTTGACCGCACACACATATAAGAAAAAATATATTTCTTTCATTCTTGGTGAGGAAGACATAAGGAAGGGCTTTCTTATACATTCTAGGCATAAAACATTTTATTCCCTCTGATCTTTTAATATTTATAAAGATTAAAAATGTTTAATAATTTTAAATATTAGCAATAAATTTTAAATTTAGCCAAAAACAAGATGTGTACAAAATGAAATATCCAAGAAGAAAAATAATAGAATAGAGAAACTCTCAAAAATTTAGCCATCTTAGATGTGATGATATCAATTGTATTAATGATATTCATTTCAAATTCCTTAATTTCAACCTGTGCAATGCATGAGAAACTGTCTAATTCAATTTGATATTTCCTCCTTTTTACTTTTCTGATTATATTTATAAATCACTTTCAATATATTTTATTGAAACTAATAAAAATTTTAAAACTCATTAACTCTATCTTAAAATTTAACAAATTCTCAATTTTGTCCTATTAAATATATATACTTTAATAATATATTTTCTCTTTCTAACATTCAATGGAGGATAAAAGAAAAAATTTATATTAAAAATTTAATGAGATAACTTATAAATATGACAAAAAAATCTTCTCTCTCTTGCCTATGAATAGGACTAGAGGGAGTAAATTATAATCCACTTTTGGATAAAATCTTAAGCACTAATAAATCTCATCAAATACACTTAATAACTTTGTTTTTTAAAATAAAAATATAAAAATTTAACAATACCCTTCACTTAATATAGGGTAAAGGTAAATTATCCTGAAACTTTTTTTTTTAAGGACACCTGGCATTCTATACTTTTTGTGGGAGCAAGGTTGCCTTAAAACTCTCCAAAATGGTCAATGTTGCGCTGCCATCAAAGTTGACCATTTGTTTGACTAGACTTGCCACGTGGCATTTTTAAAAATAAAAATTGATGAAGATGCAAATTTACTTTAGAACTTTTCCTCCTGAGGCACCTAGTATCCTCGACTTTTTTTATGAGCAATGTTGCCTTGAAATTCTCAAAAACAGTGCAATGTTGCCTTGCTATCAGAGTTGACTATTTTGTTTGACTTTACTTGTCACGTGATAGCTACATGGGATTTTTAAAAAAAATTAAAAAAAATGCTACATGGCAGCCACATGGCAAGTTCAGTTAGACAAAACGGTCAATTTTGACAATAGGACAACATTGCACCATTTTAAAAAGTTTTTGAGCACTGTTGCACCTATAAAAAGCTTAAAACACCAGGCGCCCTTGGAGAAAAAATTTTAAGGTAAATTTGCACGTTTATCCTTTAATAAATTAGAAAAGAAGGGGGCATAAATTAAATAGAGATAGAGAGAGAGGGTTATATTGGAACAAGCTTGTCTAAAAAAATCTTAATAGTTTCAAAGTGTCTTATATTTTACAACACTAAATCTCTCTCAAAAATATTTTATAATTTAAAACAAAAGGACTATTGGTATAAGCCATTTATAATTAAATAACATCTTTAATAAATTAATTAATTATCTTTAAAATCATGCATTATTTTTATGTTTAACGAGTCTCTCAATCAAGGATTTTTTTTTAAAATTCATTAATTGTATTTTGAAAGATTTAATTATATTTCTAAACTTCTCACTTAAAAAAATTATATTTTTAAATGAAAAAAGTAATTTTTATTTAATCTTCTCTCTTTAAATTTTCTTTCAGAACCAAGGTAGCTTAAATGAATTGGCCCGAGGAATGAAGCTCAACATTCAAGCACGTGAGAAAATTGAGGAGCGTGGATCCATTCCCCAGCCCATCAATGATTTCCAAGAAGTTTGACTTTTGAGCAAAGTATACCCTGTTTGCATCATATTATCACACATACACACAACACTCACAGGCGCTTCGACAAAAATGCAGTGCTCCCAAATAAAAAAAAAGACGAAAACCCGTCCTCCTGGACCATTCCTTTCATTATTGGAAACTTAAAAATAATTATAAATTCTCCAAGAATAGATGTTATGCATTGTGCACTGCAAGCTCACAAATCAAATGAATCTGTCTAGGAAAGGTTGGCCTAGCACTGTGAAAATCAGCCCGTCATCCTATTCAGCACGGGTTCTCTGTTTAAAATTTCTAGTTTGACCCTTAATTGAATATTATTTTGGTACCAAGAAAGTTAATGTAGTTGCTTGTATAGTTTATTGCTACCCTTCATGCAATAAAGGAGGTGCTGCAGTAGTTAGTTTCTTGCGTCCTATAGTTTCGAAATCAATTTGCACCATCGATCAATTAATAATATGTACATTCTCTGATTTCCTGGCCAATGTATATAATCTGAATTTTTTGCTATTAGAGCTCTTGCATTTCGTATAAATAAATAGCATGTACCAAGCATGTATATTGAGATAAACTCCACTCCCAGCAACTAACTGACGCAGATTTATCAACTAAAAAGAAAAGAGAAACAGTCACGGTGACGCTTATGGTCATGGAGTAAAAACCCTATTCATATCATCAATCTTAAGAAAAAGACGGCTGGATTCCAATCATATTAAGTCATTGGAAAAAATCTGACGGCCGAATCAATAATACAAACACAGGACACGAGTATTATTACAATCAATAGCTCTCGCCTAAAATTACATCAATCCTATGTAATTTTGTTTACCTTGGATATTGAAGAATAATGGAAGATTCACTAGCTACCAAGTCCTTGGAGAGTTGTAGTTGATGAAAGTTGAACCTTCAAATAATTTTGATCTATAGACTGTAGATGTATATTGTTCATCAGAATTTAGCTAGAAGAACGAGATTATTCCCTCGTGAAATCAGGTCTTGATAATCCCTAGTGTCTGTGCTCGGAGCGATATTGGGTGTTTGACATCGCCAACGTGAAGACTATGTTCACCCAAGGGAATTCTTCGGATCCCAGAACTGTCCACAACACTGAGCAATTTGCACACATGAATATTAAGTCTCACTCGCTGCTGAGCTCTGGCAGGAACGTGCACTTTCTCGAAAGACACCAGTTGCTTGTGCGGTGCCCATTGTCCGCCCGCAGGTGGTGCCGAGAACACTAACAACGTGTGAGTGCCGTCCATGGACCCAACATTCTTAACATCCACGTCGAGGCTGACGGACAGCTTCCCGCATCTTGCATGTGTCACTCTAATGGCCTTGTTTGAAAGGTTTGTGTTATTCCCACGGCGGTGCCCATCCACAGGAACCGACACCACCTTCGGCGCTCTAGCCAACGAGTGAACAAATTGTGTGTAGCTTAATCCGTACCCAAACGGGTATACCACTGGCCCCTTGTAAAATCTGTAAGTTCTTCCTGGATACCCTCTGGACCGGCTTGCTCTCATTGCCATGTCTGTCATCGGCAAGTTGGTGAGGTAATCTTGCGGATACCATGTCATTGGCAGCTTGCCACCTTGTAGAATTAGAGTAGGAGCAAAGCAAGCTCAGCTTTAACTTCAATGAGCGCTTGTAGAAAAGGAAACATGCAGCGAAAGAAACAAACCTGGGTTTGCAGTTCCGAACAAGATATCGGCAATGGCGGCGCCACCGGCTTGGCCTGGATAGCCGGCCCACAAGATGGCAGCAACACGTGGGTCGTTCTTGGCGAAAGTGACATCAACAGGACCGCCCGACATCAAGACCAAAATAGTTGGGCCCTTAGAGGCTGCAGCCACCTTTGATACGAGGTCTTGCTGGTGGCCGGGCAGAAGCAAGCCAGTCCTGTCAACGGTTTCTGCCTCAATGGACTGATCTAGGCCCATCACCAGAACCGTTGCGTCGGCTCGACGGGCGGCATCTACTGCCCCTCCAAACTGTTTGTCATCGGTACAAGCCACATTCGCACAACCTAGCTGGTGAATAGTCGTTGCATATTTCCCTATTCCTTGCAAGGGGCTGGTGTATCTACAAGCAATGCCTAATATAGAACAAGAAAAAATATGAATAGAAACTTCGACAATCATTTGTGCTCGTGCCCAGCTCACAGAATAAAACTCAAGCATTACCTGCATAGTTACCGATCATGGTGACGGTGACGTTAGAATTGGGACCAATGACAGCCACGGTACGGTGACGACGTGAAGAGAGGGGCAAAGTAGGACCATCGTTCTTCAGTAGCACGATTCCTTGGGTGGCAGCTTGGAGGGCAAGATTCTGATGCGCTGGGGTGCACACATGTTTTGGACCCAAGTGGCCATATGGCTGAGCCGATGGTTCTCCATCGAACATGCCTAGTCTCATTTGGACCGTCAGGGTATTAACGAGGGCACCATTGACATCGGCCTCGGCGAGCAAGCCCTTGTTGACGGCGTCCTGAGTGTGCTGTGCAAGGAAAGGGCCACAGTCCAGATCCAAACCTGCTTTGATGGCTTCCGCGGCGGCCTCCTCGGGGGTCGAAGTATAATGTTGGTTGGAGAAGAAGACGCCGACGGAGTCACAGTCGGAGACGATGTAGCCATTCAGATGCCACTGACCACGAACTGTTCGCTTCAGCAGGTTAGGATCGGCGCACGTGGGCTTACCATTCACCTGATTATACGAACACATCACACTCGCCACATTCCCTTCCTTCACACACATCCTGAATGGCACGTCGAACGTGTCCTCTATGTCCTGCTTGCTAACCTGTCCTCAAACCCACCCAACCATGTTACTTCCCCTGCATATATGTGTGGCTCTGCTAAGGCTAATTCTAAAGATGGTGTCTAAAGTCAAAAATCAAAAAACGATAATAACTAGAGTTACTAAGAAACCTCGGATTTTATGAAAATCCTTAAATTAACATAACGTAAAAAACTTTTAAAAACCAGACATGGTGGCTGTAGAGTGCCAATCGAAAGTACCAACTGTCCACGCTCCACGGCAACAATGGATATATAAATTTATATAAGATCAATGTTTTTTCCCCCTCTGAGGGGGAAAAACCAAGAATCCTATATATCCTATGAAATAAGAACATTAGCACTTCTATATCTGGTAAGCATTGTAAAGTTAATAACCTCGTGCCAACATATAATAAAGCTAATAATAAGACCGTGTTGAATGTAGATGAACATATAGGTAACAAACGGGGGGGCGGGGGCAGAACCTGAGCATTGAAGTGGAAGCGATCCATGCCTTTCCAATTGTCAAGGTCGTAGGCCGTAAAGTGCTTGCAACAGGCGGCAACCTTCAAGCGGTTGACATCCGTTCCCTGTAACCCCCTCACGTAATGGGCCGCATATCTACCGGCTACGATGGGATCTTCACCGGGAGTTTCCTGTCCCCGTCCCCATCTGGGATCCCTGAATATGTTCACGTTTGGGCTCCAGTACGTCAGCCCTGCCGTTCCCCCGTTATACATTGCTCTCGCTTCGTCCGACACTACCTGCTCCATCCCACCTCTTAGCTTAGCTAAGCTTGCTACTTCCCATTACAAATTAATCTTGCAAGACTCAGCCACAGTGAATAGACTAAGATAATTAACTAACCTGCCCGATCGCCTCCCACAAGGACGCGTTGAAAGAAGCGGCGGCGGTGATGACTTGAGGGAAGCTGGTGGCCGCAGGGAATGGCCAGGCAAACTTGGTACCGGGACCCACATTGGAAACGCCATGAAGTGCTTCGGACCACCATTCGTATCCTTTAATCCCAAGCCAGGGAACGCCCGCCGCATTGTTCACCAGCAGCCTTACTTTCTCTTGCAGAGTCAACCTTCCGATCAGGTCCTTCACTCTCTCCACCGTCGACAGCGATGTCCGGCAAAATGGCAGCGCACTCGTGTTTGCGACTTTTGGGTCACACGCGAATGGATCACGTCCTTCTCCGCCCACAACCGACAGGAGCATCAAACTGATACTCAGGATGCATGAGAAGGAAGCCATTATGGGATTTGGAAATGCCTTGAGAAATGGATGAATGACTCTGTGGAGAGGCATATGTGTGTGTGTATATATATATATATCAGATATGGGTGATATGACTGTACTTCGATGTAATGGCGGAACTCCTTTCATGATTTCATTTTCCTTTTTTTTTTTTGGCGGTTTAAGAAGTGATGAAACAACTTAGATGGCTGGTGAGGTTTGAATAAAGTTGGTTAGTAGAATGAAGATAAAAGGCCTTTGTGATTTTCCATTAATTTATGAGGACGTACAATTATACTGCAATAACAGACTATTTGTTGAGTGGCGAGATATATGTTGCCCAAGTCATGTTGGTCCAACATCATTTGGTTTGTGCCCGAATTTTGTTGTGCTCACCTTTCATAGATTTCATGTCTGACAAGAATATATATATATATATATATAAGTTATTGGGGGGGGGGGTGTAGGGTTTGGGACAATATGAGCGTGAAAGTGTTTTGAGAGCAAAGAAAGTGATGAGACTTGGAGCCGATATACAATTTTTTTAACCCTAAATCCTCGATTTGAATCCCAGAGTGACAACGTTGATTGCTTAATTAATGCAAGTTTCAATTAGCTAGTAAAAGAGAATATAATTAATATATACATAGCCGTGGAATAAAAAATAAAATAAAATAATTGATGTGCTTCGTAACATTAGATGGAGAGCGATAATTATCCATGTGATGGTGGTTACAAATTGACAGTGATGCTATGAAGAAGAATAAAACAAACGAGGGGATTGAAGATGAGGCTGTCGAAGTAGTTAGTAACAGGAGGGGGTTCATATGCATATAGGTTGTAACTAATTTTCGGTTAAGCTGTCTGGTGTCCTGTTAATTTCGGGGAGGAAGGTTTCTGTAAAATGGACGAAAGCTGATCAAAAAGCGTGAGAGGGCGTTGAGAGGTTGAGTACAAGGCACATTATCTAGGATGATGGTTGATTTTAAAAACCGGGGAGAGACAACAAATTAAACAAGTGGAGTCAGGTGCACCCAAGTTCGGGGAAGAAGAAATAAAGCGCAGTTCCTGTTGGGATGCATTTGGGAAGCACTCCTGGTTCAAGATTAGCTTTACTTACAAGATAGGGTCACATATAGTACGTTTTTGCCTCCTGAACCCATTCCAAACACACAGCCAAAACTTATGACCTCATCAACGTTGATAAAGAAATTAATTTAATTATAAAATTAATTGAGCAGGCATTATTAATAGATGTTTGGTGAAAAACTAGCCCTTCACACCCTGACGAATGAATATCCAAATCTTCGCTGATAGTGGCGCTTACGTCTAGTGACCAACCGTGTCTGGTTGCCAATTTTTTTTTTTTAAATACTTATATTAAATAAAAAGACAGAGAGAGCGGGCGTTGTTGAAAAATATGGGAGAATGAGAGATACTGCAGACATGAGAGGCTCGTGCGGAGAAGACGCTAGACAGTCTCGGCGGAGTGAAATGTGTCGTTGGCAGTGAGCTACAGCGCATGTGCATACAAGCGTGCCCCATATTTTGGTAAAACCAAAAAAAAAAAAAAAAAGGACCGAAAATGAGAGATTGGCGTATAGCACAAGTGTAGACAAATATTGAGTGGGTGATATAATGGGAAGTGACTTAAGTATGCTTATGATATACGGCTTGAAGGTGCAGTCATCCAAAAAGAGCTTTGCTTGTAGATGTAGGTGAAGACGTGTATCCAGTCGCAGTCAATTGAATGGCCCCGTCAAAGGAGCTTCATTTAATGCTCTACTCACGTGAATTTGTTGATCGATTCTTTAATTTGTTTAGCCAATTGCTTTGAGAGACAGGAGAGGTTAACGCCCAACTATAGGCGGGGTGATCAAAGTTGGCGCCAGCCAGGGAAAACCTGTACCAGACCGTGATATGGATTGAATGGTGTGAACTTTGATCTTCCCAGGTTTAAGTGCTTCGATTTGATCAACCGTATCTATTCGTGTCTGGGATCACATCACCATTCCTGTTTAAATTGCTCTCCTCCAATTTTCCCACTACAGACAAGCTGCAACTTACCAATATAATAACAAGTACGAGAGCATCAAGTTACCCATGACAACAAGTAGCGAAGGTTACTCCTTCCTCCCATTTGGCACGGAAAATAACACCTAATTCATTACCCAAGAACAAACAATAACACACTCATGCTTTTTACAAGCATTAAATCGGAACTTTCAAGATGATGGCCCATTGGCTCCTTTCACTGAACGCTTTCAACTTCGTCTTGTAAGTCCAGAACTATTGGGCCGTTATATAGGTTTGGTAGTTATTCGTCGGTAATAGAAACGGGCCTTCAAACTCGGCTCACCTCATCTAATAAACGCGTAAGGTGGTCAGAAAAAACTCCACTTTTTTCATTTTTATTATATATAAAAAAATTATATCACACAATTTAAACAAAATTATTTAATTATAATAATTATATTTAAAAATAAAAAATTAAATTAAAATGTCATATGATAATTAACATAAATATGTATTAATTATTTTTTATTAATGTAAATTATGAAGGGTGATTTAAAAAATGTGTAATAAATACTTATTGAAATGAATGATTTTACTTATAAAAAATATAAGTAAAAAAATAATAGTTTATTTAATAATAAAAATTGGAAGGAGTGTCTTTTTTACCAAACATAATAAGAGCGGCTAGTTACGGTCACCGAAGCACCATTTTTAGTTTATAAATTAATTCGATTCCAAACACATGGACATAGCTGATATACAAGTGCCTTTGATCAGAGAACCCCTGGAGAATGTGTATGCTTTTAATTTGCATTAGAAACTAGAGTTGATAATTCAGGCGAGTTAAGCTCATTTGAATTGAACTTAAAGTATTATACTTTATTAAAAAAAAACTCATATAATTAAGCTCAGTTTTAACTTCTTTTTATTAAATTTGGATTAACCTGTTAGACTTGATTAAAATTAGTAACTCCGTATATATATAAAGTCAAAAATTTCAACTGTCGGGCTCAATTCGAGATTAACCTAAAGTATCATAAAAAAAATATGTAGTTAAACCTAACTTTAACTTTTATCAAGCAAATTCAAATTGACCTATTAAATTTGACTTGAATTATCAATTCTATTAAAAAATGAGGTAGGAGCGGAGGGGTGAGTGGGTGACCACCACCACTCGACAAGTAAACACGTCTAATGATCAGGAATTGCAATATATCGTTGCCCTTAAAAATCGAACGCCGAAAGCTCCAAACATGCATGTTCTCTTCTGGGTTTGACCTGAGCGCAAGGCGTGGTATCTAGCCTCAAGTTTGACGAAGAAGAGCAGCATAAATTCAACATAAACTAAGTCAATGAGAATAGGTTAAATGTTACACGCACGCCCTTTCAAGACAAGGCTGATATACTATTGTTATTTTTTAAAAAATATCAGTCAAAAAATAATAATTGGATAATTACACTGTTCCAAAAAAACTCTAACGATATCACAAAAAACGAGCAAATAAATAAAGTCACGCACAATTTTTAATACATTTGGACTCGTCGCTTCAAAACTGGGATTTCTTAAAAACTACTCGAGCCTCTAATTGAACTCGACTAAATCAAAATAGAACAAAGGCCTTCCTTACAAATTACAATATATGGCTTTAGCATGTTTAATTTGATGATGATCAAGAAGAGAGACGTTAACCTAAGGCTAAGATGGATACGTACATATGTATATCATTAAACATTAAACTACATATAGTAAGTTACATACGTCGATAATAGAGAATGCCCAGGGGGCACCGGAGATAGCGAAAACACTAGAAAGCCTTGAAGAACAGCCAGTGGGAGATTTTTGTGTCGATTTTCTTCTCCGTTATCGTGTCCAAGCTGGGCTTCCACCCTTTCCCAGAAAGCTCACGACTCAAATATTCGGGTCTTTCAGGCTGCAGAATCTCCTCAGGGAACACGTTCCTGCGGATCTCATCCGTCTGCTCCTTTTCCGATAGCCGTGGCTTTTTTTGTGTGACATGACCTGCCGCCACTGCACTGGGATGATGACACATGCGAGCAACCCAAGGAACAAATCTGGAATGCAGCCCGGCGGAGTTGAGAAGCAAAACAAAACGACGAGCGTCCTGAGCGTTTAATCCGAGGGGCTTCCCTCGCTTCATGGGAATCATCAGATATATGCTGTTAGTTTGAAGATTGTGATCGGCAGGCAACGGATTCGGCCTTCTCTGGTTGACAGCAGAATGGAACTCGACCACGAGCTGTTGAGGGTGCTCCAGCATGAGCTCGGCCACCATCACTGGTTTATCAAATTCTTGAATCGAGCCATCCCAGTGAACAATTTTGCCGGTGGAATTTCGACCAGAAGGCATATAGTTCCCCATATATTCTTATTCTCGTGCAAGGCTTCTTGTTGTGTGAGGTACGACTAGAGAGAAAGGGAAAGGGAAGGGAGTTATATATACAAAAAAGAGGCAAGTGGGGCTGGGATGAGAGTAAATGTACGTAATGGAAATTGATGTTTGTTAAACCGCTCCATCTTGTGACGGATATTATGGTGGACTTGGTACCATTTTTAAATTAAACCTTTGATTTGGCCCGGTCGTTGCCTCTCCTCCTTTCATGTTTTGTTTTCATGTTTCGGTTTTCACTTTCACCCCACTTCATCCTTTGACTTCCTCATATCCTGTCTCTCTATCCCTCTCTCTGTGTCTGTATACTATTTGTGCTCTCACTTTTCTTTCCATTTTAGTTCGTTTTATTAATACTTCTTCTAGTTGACAGATTTTAGTGGGTGTTTCTTCTGTTGTATGTTTTTTTAAAAAGAAACTTCTAGCCAATTTAAGGTAGACTGAGCCAGCTAAAAGAAATACTCTTGCTTTTGGAATTGATCTTCGATCGGAAGGGAATTTAGATTTGTTCTAGAGCATCCATATCTAATTGCGGAGTGCACACGAGGAACCGTTCAACTACAACTCCATCACCTAATTGGATTAGATTATCATGGACGGAGTTGAATCGTCCCTTCTAATTCACTTCTCCACCTCCCTCTATCTCTAGTTACGTTACATAATACTAGGTTGCCGTTGATTTGTTACGACAAGATGATTAGGTCGCCAAGAAGTAATAAGTGATTAAAATTAAAGTAGTCTGATGCATCCAACATCCTATCACGAAATTGATTTGATCAAGGAAACGCTGGAGCTCATAAGCAGGAATTAACTAAGAAAAAAGCATTGCATATAAGGGTAGAAATAAACTAGGCCAGGTCTGGCTTTAGTCAAGTAAGTTTAAGTCTATATGATTGTTTAAAAACCTTAACATATATTAAAAAAAAAATTTATGTATCAGACCTGAGTTTATCTAAAAACTGGCTTATAAGTATATTTAAAAGCCTATTTAAAAGTAAGCTTTTTAAAAAAGCTTACATATTTATTTAAATTTATCAAATATATATGTTTTAAAACTATTAAAGTCAATATATATATATATAACATAATTTATTAATTATAATATATAATAATTAAGATGACTTACTAACTATGATACAATACAACAATAAAGTGCTAATATTAAAATTAACATATAAATCTAATATGATTGAAAATATAATTAAAAATAAAAAAGAATGAATTGATTAAAAATTAAATCATAAAACTAATGTATGCATAATATATATTATATAATAATATATATAAATATGCCAACATGTTAGCCTTATATGATAAAACTTGTAAAAATAAGCCTGCTCTATTTAATTAAATAAGCCTAGTAAAAAAACTTGACTTAGGCATATTTAATATTATGTAAAACATCTTGGAGAATTTAATTTCTAATTAACTGAGTAAATGAAGTTAAATAAGTAAATTAATGTGGCGTTAGTTATGAAGAGCTCACAAGTGTTATGGATTATGATTTCAACCATAGGATTGAGTCTGGAGCAAAATCGGGCTACTTGAATGTCAAAAAGTGAGAAAAACAATGAAGAATAGCTCTGCACCACATGCCACAATGCGCATGAGCCACCAGAAGGTAAGAGTTTCCACTTTGTACTAATGTTGCCACACGCTACGGTGTATAATAATGAATATGCAAAAATAAAAGCATACACATGCAAAAAAAACAAGGAGGAAACAAAAGAGAAATGAGGGAGAAATGAAAGAAATTTGCTAGGACTTGCAAAACTAAAGGGTTAAGAGTAATTCTAAGTTACTAGACATTAAGGTAAGGTTCTTAAGTTCTTTCCCTCTCTTCCTCTTACATTTTCTTGAATTCAGAGGATAGAGTTTAGTTGAAAAAAATAATTTTCAACGCATAAAGGTTATGAATCCAAATTCATTGACTTAAAATAAAGTTAATAAAAGTTATTTAGGTTATTTAAATTTAATATTCATGACTCTATGCATTTTTTATAGTTGGGAGTCATAAATACGTAAAAATCCTCCATAAATTAGGAAGATGGAGTAACGTGAAGTCATTCATGGCTAGTTGAGAGTTCAAAGGAGTTAATGAAAGTTAGAGGAAATTAATGAACATAGTGGGTACTTTTAGATATGAAGAAATTGAGTTTTGAGAGAGTGTTGAAGTGTGAATTAAGTGTTGAAAATTATCTAAAGGAGGTTATTGATAATTGTTGTGCAAATAAATATAGAGTAACTACGACTTGACACCATTCAAGTTTTATGAAAACTTTAAGAGTGAGTAATTGAGGGGTAAATCTTTCATGTCTTAAAGGTTTGAGATAATTAGGAAAAAAAATATTCCTTATACTATTATATGTTAATTAATTTATTGATTTAAATGTTAAAATCAAGGTGTGTGAAATTAAAATCAAGTATGGCATAAAAATATTTGAAAATCAAATATTATATTTTTGTAGAGTTCTATGACATGGTTTATGTGAAATTCAATGATTTGGTATATGTGGAGTCTAATAACTATGTGTTGAGTGAAGTTTAATGATTTTGTGAATATTAGAGTTAAATGATTATGTGCTAATGGAGTTTAATAATTATATGTGATGTGAAGTTCCATGATTAAGTGTGAAATATGAAAGTATGGAGTATAATGAAGTTAATAAGTATGTTTATTGTGCGAGACATATGTGTGCCATGAATGTTGATGTTTGTGCATTGCATGATCATGTGAGGAGGAAGTTCGTCTAATAAAAGGAGTAGTGAGTTTAAAATCCACACGGTAAGGCTTTCATCAGAGTTTGATGGTTTGCCTGAATTTGTTTGTTATCGTCCCACTTGTTTGAAAACGAACTGTCCCACTTATTTTATGAAGAACTCGAACCTAACTAGTTTTTCATTTGTTTGATGAGAAAGTTATTTTAGAGAGAATGAGACCACACAGTGTGAGATTTAGGAAAAATTGTGATCCACAAATGAGTTAGGCAACCTTAATCGGGTAACCCCTTACATGTGAATGGCCAGGGTAGTATTGTTTCATAGACAGTCTTATTGTGTTATTGCCTACGGTTTCATGTTAGAGGCATAATGAAGATATAAGGGAGGTGTGATCTTACATATTGTGATAAAAAGGGCACATAGTTGTCAATATTGTGTCCCTTGAGATGAAGTCATATGAACATTAGTTATCATGATATTATTTCATGAATTTATACAATTGATGATGAAAAATGCAAATATGTGCTTGAATATGCTAATTTGACTTAAATATGACATTTTGTTGTTTGCATTTAAATTAATTGACATGTATTAATATGAGTTAGATGAATATTGGTTATTAAATAGTTGTACTCATTCCTTTCTTTTTAATATCACAAGAGTTAGCTCATTGGGATAAGACCAAAAGAAAGAATTTGAGGCTTAGGATTCTGTCCTAAACTATAGGCCTCATTTAATTTGAATGTTTATATGTATAATCTGTTTTGATATTGTCAATTAGGACAATTCATGATTACTTGTTTGCACTATGTGAATATTAAGTTTAATTGAGTATTTTGGGCCCTAGTTTATGTATGTGTTAATTGTGAAAATCAAGAAGGGTCAAAATACTAGTACAAGTGAGATATGAGCAAATATGAAGATACGTTGATTAGGTATGACGACTTATGAATGAATTATGCTATTTGAACTCCCATTTTTGTTTTTGTGATTAAGGGGATTGAGTATTAAAAATGTGTTATACATGATGTTTGTAAGATGTGGTGTATTACATAGGTTTATAATAGTCCATTGAGCATGGTCTAGGGTGTATTTAAGGATTTTGGCACTTAGTATGAAATTGGGATACCCAAGATATGTTTGAATTGTGAAAAAGAGTGAATTATGAAATGATTGTCCAATGTTTGACTGAAAAATAATTTTTTTGTAAAATCAATGTCATTAGTTAAAGTTAGGGGAAAACTCTATGTAAACCCCTAGATTGCCTCAATCGGACAAAGAAATTGGGCTTGTTGGAAGTTCACCTCTATTATTGTTAAAAACATGCAATGTGTCATGGCACATAGCACTTGAGCTGTGATACATGGCACAGAAAGTAACATGCTACAATGCACATATAACAAGCTATGATGCATGTTTATTTTCTGCACTGTTTCATTATTTTCAACTCTTATGCAAATGATTTGATTCTTTTTAAATTCTCATGCTTTCACATAAAATTTGTACTCTGATTTATATTTGTAAATATGTTTTATCATGATGAAAAAAGCTTAAAAATTTGGGATCTTTTTGATAATGTTACAATATAAATTTTTTTATTTGGAGTTAATGCCTTAATTTCCTTAAAACTGAAGTTAAACTAGAGAATAGTAAAGGAGACCATACATTATATATCCTACTTCCACCCCTAATCGCGTGTATGTGAATTCTTTCACGTTTAGTCTGGCATTTTGTTTTTTTCCGGGTAGTATTAGCGTGGAGGAATTAGATTAGGCACCAGTAGAGACCAGGAAGACTGGGGGAAAAAAGACCATGCAAGACACCAAAAGCCCAATTTATACAAGACTTGTCTCGACATCTCACCAGTACTTATGGGCCGAGAATGCAACAATGTTCGTCCCAATGTTGGATCTTAAACTACATATTTTGGGCCTTTGAACCTACTGAACATGATCAATGCCCATGAATTATAGCCAGTGGTTATCACAGTAATCTGGCCTTCAAAAAACAAAAACTCTAATTGTTGAGAGAGTTTGACTATTTCGCCATCTGATTGTTTTTTAAAATTCGCATGCATGATTATAAAAATTATTTTTTTGATAACACCACAGGAAATGAAATGCAGGCTATTTCATCATTAATACTCACTTCATTTTAAATTATTAAACACTTTTAGATAAAATCTCATATATCAATAAAACTCATTAAATACACTTAACAACTTTATCTTTTCAAAACAAAAATATAAAATTTTAAAAATATTCATCATTTAATATATTGAAAAGAGAAAAGATACAAATTAATTATAAAAAGATAAAGGATAATATTAAAATTGATGTATTTAATGAAATTTTAATCTATCCAAAGTATCCTATATTTTGAGATAAAGAAACATTTAACAAAAATGCCCTATAATTTGGAAAAAGGGGGTATTATTTATCACTATGCATTCAAGAAATCTCTAATCTGTCTGCAGGCTCTACATTTTGTTACATTTATACACAACATACATGGACAAGCTAGTAAACCAGATCTGTGTTTTCAGGCTGAATACAAGCTGAAGGTAAACGCACCAATCTGCTTCCGGATAAGATGTAGCTGCAAACGAAGAAATTCTCCTCATGGGTGCTTTACAACCACAACAGGACACTTGGCGTGCTGGGCACAGTGATCGCTGACACTTCCTAGGAGCGCCCTGCAAGTTGGCAAATAATCAAGTTGAGTTTCAGTAATTACGTGCATGCTTGATTTAATCATAAAAATACGTGAACTGATTAAAAAGTAGCGGCACAGCTTAAAGAATCCATAACCATGGCTTCCCATGACCAGATGTCAGCCTTCAGTTTCTGCACTGTACTTCATATCACATCCTTTGCTTCTCCGGTCTCTATCACTCTCCGTGTTCATCTGTATGAACCCTTCTTCAGAGAATACACAACACACACGCCCTCTTCAATTAAGAAGGAGGACATCAAATGAATAAAGCTCAAGGACGCATGCATGCGATTACATTATTGGTGGTGTTCAATTTCCTGCAAATGGCTTCAGCTCTTTCCATTACTGAATCAGCCAATTCCCGGCCGTACTTTTCCATAGCCACGGCAAAATCGCCGGCAAATATATGCCCTTTAGACATCAAACCACTATTAACACCAAAAATTAGCCAGTGAAACCCAAGGGAAAGTGTAGCCTTGAGTTGACAACAACAACAATAAATTAACAAGTAGAACCCGCAGCGTCGAAGTAGGAGTAAAGAGCAGGCGGCGGCGGCTTGACATAGTGAAGCACAAGCTTGTAGTTTTGTGCAGGGGACATGAGATTGGTGATGCACCATGACAGTGCATACATGCTCTTCTCGCTCTCGTCCACCGCCGCCACAAACATTCGCTCCTTCGTTTCCATAACCCACTGGTTTTGCTTTCGATGCTCAAACTTGCAAGTGTTATTGCGTACATATGCAACTGCTTCGGGGTTTAGTCGCCTCTGGTTTTAATTAAGCCCTGGATTCTTCAAGCCTGAGATCATTGAGAGGACTTTGTCTCGACTCGAGGAGCCTAATATTTAATGACATAAGGATAGGATTCACGCTTGGTGTCGGTTGTCGCGGCCCAGATAAGGAGAAAACAATAGGGAAGGCCCACCTTTGTATCGGAGCATCAAGTGAGGACAAAGCAAAAAAAATTATTGAAAACCCGTGTTTTCAATTGTATATGAAACTCGGTCTAGAAATTTTAGGTCATTAATTTATTGTGGATCAACATCTGGCGCCGTCTGTTGCAGTTTGAGTGTGCGTACCCTGTTTTGTGATGTGGTGGGTGACATATTAACCCATCCAATTGAGCTTTGAACCCATGAAAGCTAGCCATATATCTTTAACATGTATATGTATATGTACCGATGTACATTAAGCAAACATTTTCACTAATGTCGTGTACATACATCAGAAAGCAATATAATTAGAAGCCAGTAACACCAAACAGCTCCAGTTGATGGAACAAACAAGGAAATAAAAGATACGACGATGGTGTGAGATCTGAGTTGATAACTGCATCGCCACTGGTAATAATACACGACTACACCTAAACGAAGAGCGTGCTACCTCTCAAACGTGACAAAATAGTCCACCGAGATCAACCGATGCTAAAAGAGACAGAGTGTTAAGGGAAGTGGCGAGACAGCAGCATGAAAAAGAGGTTTGACATGTAACACTTAGGGGAAGAGTCAAATTAAGAATGGAGTGAGAGAGAAGAGATTTTATGGGCCACCATATTGAAAAAGGGTAAGGGATACGAGATTGATGGGAGAAGCAGGCGTGAACTTGGAAGCTAAGGCATCAACAACAATATGGTTGGAGTTCTGCTAATCAAAGTGTGGAAATTCATGCTCAGATTGGATTGGATATATCACGGATGGCCTCTCGTTCCTGATCAGGTCCATGATATTCTCAAACCTAATTAATTCATAGCTTACACCAAACTCAACGGCCACACCATTACCTTCTTCTAACGGAACAACTTCCCTCTCAAATATCAACCACGCACCTAATTCCCTCATTTTATCAACCCTCCATTATTATAAACTAATCACTGCCCCTTATTTCTTCCTTTTAGCTGCCTTTTTTTTTTTTAATTTTTGCGCATTTTTTTCCTATTTAATTACAACGTGGAATAATAAATTATATCAATATTTATTAATTATTTAAAATATTTGTTATTAAAATAAAATACGAGTAAAGGGGCAGTATTGCTCGTAAACTATTCTTGCAGGTGTAAATGAATGTCCTAGACTATCAAACGACATGCTATTACCTCCTGAACTCAAAGAAAATTGCAATGTTGCCATGTTTGCCCAAGTGCTATTGCAAAATTTGATGGCAAAATTGCATCCACGTGGCAAACATGTGCAGCGAGAATTTTTTTTTTCCAAAAAAAAACTGCAAAACCTCCATGTCCATGGGCTTCTGACCTCCATGATCTGTGAATGTATAAATTATGTTGTGGCTTTTGTCCCCCATGAATCAAGCTTTATCTTTGATTTCTTGCATGCTAGTTAGTTTGATCTAAAGTGGGAGAAATTTCATCTGGAATTCTACTATCCGTTATGAATCCTGTGATTTCGAAATTTGGATCTCGTGTAGAATCTTGTCACTAGATTCATTGACTATTTTACATTGTTTCTAGATACCTTCAATGTACTTTGTTGCTCGTTAATCAAATTGCTATGCCCTGGATTGACCAAAGCCAAAATGCCTTTCTCTTGAAATTTTTGAACTTCAGATTCCATGATTCTATTGCTGCTGCTGGCTTAGATTAAATGTTTTAAATGACTTTTTGAGCCCAAACTCCTTGAAATGCTGCCATTTTTACAAATCAAAACTCATTTTTCACCAAAATCTATCATTTTGGTTTAACTTCTTAAATTGAGTTTCATCTCAAATTAATCCCTAAAATATTTTTCTACTTTTAATTGGATCTTCTATAAATGTATGTTTCAATTTTAATTCCTCTAAATATTTTTTCTTGAGTCACGTTATCTTTGCACGAAAATTTCTTGACTTTCTTTTAAGTTCTATCTGGATTAAAAAATAAAAAATAAAATATTAGATCAAGTTATCAATATTCTTTCAACAAACGAAGGTTTGCCTTCATGTTTAAAGAATCAAATCAAAAGAAAGCAGTATTTTGTAGATTTAATCCCAATTTTACTCTTATAACTCATGTTTTAAAGTATTATTTTATTTTTTAATGTTTAAAAGATGCAAATAGCCTAATCCCTGATCCATTATTGATTTTGGCCTAAAGAAATTATCCATTATTGGTTAATAATCTGATGATGTTTGTGGAAAGACGTGGACAGCAAGCGTAATCCACAGCTACATGCTCATTGTTCCCCACAATTGCTTACAAATTGAAACTATCAAGAAATAATACTTTACCAGACATTAAAAGATATTACTTTATTTTTTGTATAATCTTTGAATTTGAGAACGAGAATAATTTATTAAAATGAATAGTGTCGCCCACATTATGATTTTTTTTTTATCATATATAATTGCGAATATTATGCCGAGAGAGAATCGCTTCTCACAGCATATGATATGAATATCTTCAATTTTTAACTGAATCATGGGCACCGGGCGAAAACCAGGTTAAAATTGTAATAATTTAATGAATGTGAAATTACACCTTTGTTCTAAATTCTAATAGACGAATGGATACCGTAGATCGTAAGAGGGCCCACGGAACCGCGTGGCAAGTGATTTAGTTCATGGGGCCCCATGATTTCAAATTGAAGTTCGTTTGAACGTTTATTACCGTTGGTGAGGAACTGTGGTTCCCACATTTGAATCTGGAAACGCAGTTTTGAATTTGATGGGCCCCAGTCAGAAGTCATTGGATTTAAAAAACTGCTTTCTCTCACAAAACCCGGACTGGGGGAGAATTAAAGGTGCTGAGCTCACAAGTTTAATTAAATTTGTGATAGAAACGTAAATTTTTATTATAAATTTAAATTATAAATTTATAAAAATTTAAATATATTAATAAATAATTATTAACATATGACTGTAATTTAATTTAAATATGTTAAAAATATAAATCATTAAAATTAAATACATATACATTAATAAATTATCATATACAAGATATAAAAATTTTAAAATAGAGAAACTTATTTTTAGTATTTTTGTTTTTTTTATTAATATTAATTTTTGTATTTTAATTTTTTTCTTTAAACTAGATTCTATAACTTTTATAAATTGAATTCTTCATGATATATACCTAACTTGCTGAACTAAAAAAAAAAAAATTTAACGAGCTTAACAAGTTTAACCAAAATTATATTTAGTTTAAGTTTATAAATTAGTTAACACAATTTTGTAAATTAGAAACATGAAAGTGGTAAATTGAAAGATAAATTCGTAAGTTTAACTGAATTTATATTTAATCTAAATTTATAAATAAGTTGATATGATTTTGTATGTTGGAAACGTAAAATCATTAAACTCGTAAAGTTAACTCGAAAGTTTGATAATTTTGAGGGGAGCTCTTCAAATTTTAATTTTATTTCTCAGACAAGTAATTACTAAAATTACAATAGTTCGCATTATACCGCAATTTACACCCATCCTTATTATTTCTTATTTTTGAGTAAATATTGTTCGTATTATTTTCTACTGCCTTAAATGTTTGCTGGGAGTATCGGCAATGTGAGTCTGTGTTGCGTTGGAAAGAATTTTGATTGATAAAAAATTAATGGTAGGTCCGTAATGTTTTCATGTAACCTGTTTCCTACTTCCACCTGAATACTTGTATTTTATTTTCTGGTAATTTTTTAAAAAGAACACATTTTGGGAGATAATAATATAGAAGAATGACAATTAAGTCTTAAAAAAATTAATGATAATTAAATTCTTGACAGATTTTTTTTTAAAAATCAATTACAAATAATTAAAAATTAAAAGTTTTTATTATAAATAAAATATTTAAATTTTAAATGTAACTGAACTGTCAGTTTATAATTGAAATTTGTATTTATGATAATTTAAATTAATATTTACAACTTATTTTCTTAAAAAAATTGGTGAATTATTAAATATATAAATGCACACACAATTTTCCCTTGAAAATTAGAGTGAAACTACACAACACTTCAATATAATTTTTTTAATAACCTAAAATTCATCACTTTATCAACTAAAATATTTTAGTTGGCGAAAGACATTATATCACAAGTCACGAGTAAACAGAGTGAGAGTGCATCCTAATCGGGTAACGTCAAGTGCATGCTGCCAAGGAAGGAAAGATGATTTGGGCATCTCGGCTGGGCACATCATCTTTGACAGACTCTCCATTATTTTCTTCAGTTCAGTTCATCACTAAGTTTCGGAGGCTTATCTTGTTTTTCTTTAATCCATTCCTTAATTAGCTCATCATATAAACTCTGATCACTCTCTGAATATTCACTAAGAAGTTTGGCTTTGTAGGACATTTGTCTAGCATTTTAATACTGCTACCCAGCAGTTTTGAAGTTTTAGGACATTTCTCCATGTTTTGAAGTTTTGTTTGACACTCGTTTACTTTTTTGGAAAATGACAGAGATATTTTAAAATGATTAATTAATTTAAGTTAGATTTTAACTGTCAAGTTTGAGAAATTTACAACTCAACTTGATATTTTAATTTTATAATTTTGTTATAATGAAATTATAACTTATATTTTAAATTTTAATAAAAAATAATTTTTTTATTTTTCAACCATATTAAAATTTAAAAAATAAGTTATAAATTTATCATAATATAATTATAAAATTAAAATATTGAATTGTAAATTTTTAAAGTTTGACACTTAAAATTTAATTTAAATTAATTAAAAATCTCTTTGTCATTCTACCTTTACTGGCAGATGTGAAATTTTTTATTTAATCTAATTTTATATTCATTTCATTTAAAAAAATATATCATTTTATTAACCAAAACAGTTTAATCAGCGAAAGACATTAAATCGGTAGAGGTCAAAAAATGGAAGGAAGTTGCTATAGTAAAATATTTGCATGATTTATAATGAGTTTTTAAAAAAGTGAAATTACAAATAAACCAAGAGGATGGAAAATAATGATAAAAACGAAAATAAAAAAGTGAGACATCCTTTTATGGTACATTTGAAAAAGAGAGAAGGGGTGATTTTGGAACTCTATGTGTCACTTCTATAAATAGAGTCCATCCTCCACTCCAGGCCAGAGAAAAACAGTCTCACAGAAAGATTTGAAAACCGAGGAAGAAGAGAAACAGAGGGAGCGAGTGCAGTGGGGATTGCGAAAAATGGGAGAGGTTGTTATGTTGATTGACGATTTGAAATCTATTTCTGGGATTTCTCGATGCAGAATATGTCATGAGGAAGAATTCGAGAGCTCAACAAGCTTTGAGGCTCCCTGTGCTTGTTCTGGGACCGTCAAGGTAATCGCAGAAATAGCTCTATCCATGCTCTCCTGGTCTTGTTCTCTTTCGTATTTTCTCAAAATTAATAACTCTGTTTCCTTCTTCAGTTTGCTCACAGAGATTGCATACAGAGATGGTGCAATGAGAAAGGGAATACAATCTGTGAAATATGCCTCCAGGTATGAATGTTGATCATTCCTCTAGTTTGTAATCTGCAATTCAATTCTTTTCTCTTGCTCCAATAAATTCGAATAATTTTTTATACATGTTTTACTAAACAGATCATCTATCTTCTTGTTGGGAAAAGGGAAAAGAAGTTGGTCGTGTGAATCAATTCATTTTGGTGTCGTTATGTAAATTTGGGTCGGCTGTCCTTTCTGATAGTGACTTTTAGAAACTATGATAATTTCCTTTCTTCCTCCTCCGTAGACTTTTTCTTTTTCATTTTTTTTTCCTGGCCTTTTGCTTTCTTTGCTTAATATTGAAGTCTAGCTCACCCTGTACTGAATTAACTTTTATTCATCATTTTCTCTCGAGGGGAAAATGGATCCATGAAAACTTTTCTTCGGTATTTTTTTCGATAAATGTGATTGTATACATTCATTCAGTGAGCTTCCAATAACGAATGGCATTATTCCTTTTAAGAGGCTTCTGCTATACCTGACTGGTATTAGTTTGACTTTTTGTTCGCAGCAATATGAACCTGGCTACACAGCTCCTCCAAAGAAATTGCAGATAAATGATGAAGCAATGACCATCCGGTACACTTCCTTTTATGTATAGTTACTGATGGTTTTGATTTGCTTTATTACAGCTTCTCTCAATTCCTGCGTGCAGTCCGCTCAAAATTGTACCAAAGTGCCTGACAACTAAAAATTCAATGTCAATGATTTCAACGGTTCTTGAATGTGGACCCATTTCACTGTTATTTTTTTTTCTTAATCGATTAATAATGCATAGCAAAGTTGACAGCATCCTAGTGTGAAGTGTGAACCATTTAATTCTGACTGCATTATTACAGAGATAGCCTGCAAGTTGCAAGAATGGATGAAGAAGCGCTTAATGCAAGATTAGAGGCAATAGTTGAAAGAGTGACAATAGAAAGTGATTACTCTGAATGCACGTCTGCCGCAGATAGAAGTGCATCTTACTGTCGATTCCTGGCCTTGGCAGTAAGCATTTTTTTTTTTCCTTAATCAGATTCATCGAGTTACGCTGTCATTATTGTAGAATAACAATTATCAAACAAGACACTCTTAGGTTGCAAAATGAAAGAACCAAAGGTAGTTTTGCTCTCATGTTTTATTGCCAACTAAATTACCCAATACCCACAATGGGTCCCATAATTGCAACCAAGGGCTCCAAGAGTCATATTGACCTCAATATTCTCTCTCCCAGGAAACATAGGATTTGTTGAATCCGGAGAATATTTCCCCATATTTCATGTAAATTTTTCTCCCATACCATAAGTCAAGCATTACAAAACTAGTTGATACAGCGTAGCTAAGTTTTGCACCAATGTAAAAGCTCTTCCTGTATCATGCCTGAGGACTTGGCTAAAATATACAAGTCACTTCATCTTATTGGCAGTTCACACTCTTTATGCTCGTGAGACATCTTTTCGCCGTGCTTACAAGTGGAGTAGAAGATTACCCATTTACACTTCTTACTGTAAGTGTGTTTTATTTCCAATATAGTTGCGGTTAATGATGGAAGAACAAGCTTTTCGAACTCATCTAATAATGAAGTTTTGTGGTGATGATTACTTTGCAGGTTTTAATGCTAAGGGCTGGCGGAATTGTTCTACCCATGTTCATGATTATTAGGATGATCGGAGCGCTTCAAAACATCGTCCAGCGCCAGCATCAGGTTTATTAGTTTTTAACCTTTGCAATCACAGTTACTGATTCGTTGTCTGGTCGACATGCAATCGCAACTGATAGCGCGATGGTTATTGTACACATTCAGGATTCTGAAGGTGGCGCAGCAATATCTGACGGACACAACAACGAAAACGGGCCACTGCGTGATGTGATTTTTAGACACACATAGGCAGTCTTTCGGAGCATCATGCTGATGCCCTTCACGAGTTCCAACACTTATGCAACATCAATTAATTTTATGGAAAAAAGTAATTGAATTCATAAATTAAATTCAAATGCATTTTCATTCTGCCTACTACCGCCCACCCATCCACCAAAAAAATATTTACAAATACTAGTCAGTACAATCAACAACCGAATTCACCTACATAGTAGTATTCACTTCTGGAAACGCGTACAAAAAGCACTGCGGTAGTATCAGTTGAACTTGGATCAACTCATTGACTACAATTATTTACAGGGAACCAAAGCTATTTCGAATAAAGTTCCGAGATGTTAGACAACTAACATAACAAGCAAGACTCGACTTTCCAATAATGAACAATAATTTTGATGACAGAACCGGCAACGACCGGCGAATGGATATTAGTGGATCAAAACAATTACTTGGAACGGTTTAACATTTGCCGCAGCGCTCTTGTTTTATTATGAAGTTCACTGAGGAAACTATCGGACAAGTTTTCCAGGATATTCAAATTTGTGGTGGCATTGATCAATTTTTGAATGATGACGGCCATCTTATCGGCCAAACTTTGATTGGAAGCGTTGTTTTCCAGAGATGCCTTTCTGTGTTTACCATATTTGGCCTCAAATTCTCTAGACTTAGCAGCAGCCTTTTGCAGAACAGAAGTTGGAAGACCTGAAATAAAGCTGATTGCTTTCTTTAGAATAAGAATTAATTAATAATGGAATAAAGCATCAATAGAATGAAATGAAGTAAAAATTGACTTCGAAGCACAAAAGAACAAGCGGAAATGAGAATATTTCAACTAAATTCTTTTTAAAATATTCTCAAACAGAATAGTTTAAACACGATCATAATATTCTAAAATCTAAACCACACAACTTTCCCCCTAAAAGTACCACTTCACTAACAATTAACTAGTGACGAACATCTTTTCAATCTGTTTCATTTCTAATATTGCTCTCAAAGACAGTTTCCAAACGTGAAAGACATTTTAGCGCGCAAAGCCCCAAAACCAATGTCTACATGAATAGTACGAGAATGTTAACCTCAAGTTTAGGCTCCTTTTCTGAGTTAAGAATGATATAAATACTAAGGTCCATCTGTTGTATGCTTAGTGGATCCATATCAAAGCAAAATCCTCAAAAATAAGGGCGATACACTAAAAATCTGACGGCTGCCAACAGTTTCAGTGAATTGGGAATCTGAAAAAGAAATATGACCATACCAGCTAACCGAGCAACATTAACCCCATAGCTCTTAGGGCATGCACCAGGTGTCAACCTATAAAGAAATGTGACTTCATCCACGCCTCCAACTCCATCACCAACTTGACAAGCCATATGGCAGAGAGAAACCTTTACAACAAATGCAAAAAAAAAAAAAATGATTGGAAAGGAACTGAAATACCAGAAAGGCAGAAACAGTAGCCAAAAAGAAAGTGAGGCTATTCATTCACATTATCTTGCTAAAAAGCAACTTCCAATATAAAAATGAGCAGATAGTGATATTTAAGCATTCAAATACATTAACTTACTATAGATTATGACGATTGGTACAATGACCTCTAATTAACTCTGTAGGATAAAACCTAGGCATACCTTGGGGTCCTTGTGGAAATCAACAGCTAATAGGTGATAATGAGTAGAAAACAACCCACGACACTGCACTTTTTGCACAAGATATTCAAGTACTGATTCCCTGACAGATATTTGAAAAGCACAAAGCAGAAGCTAAGATGGAAATCAGAAAGTTGAATAATCTTTCATGGAAACTGAAACCGTTGGGGACATGTGCACCTAATCCTATTACAGGCACTTACGCAATGGCTTGTCCATCGGAAGTTGAGGTCCCACGTCCAAGCTCATCCAAAGCCACTAATGAATTACGAGTAGCTGATGACTGTATTCACCAATTAGATATGCAGAAGAAGAAAGAGTGCTTTAATAGTTGATACAAAGCATAATGCATAATGAGCAATTGATAAGACAAGGAAACATTATGGATTAACTGATTAAAAAAGACAAGGAGAATATTTTCCTGCTCACTGTTAATTTCATTGGCTCATTGAACAATGTTTTTTTGCATGTATTTTTTATTACTATCCATTCACGTCCAAAAGAAACAGCCTTCAAAATATAATGGTCTAATTTGTGGCTGCAGTGAGCCATCAATTAACTTATTGAGAACCTAAAAAACTACAAACTAATAGTAGGAATATCGTATGTCTTTAATTTTAAAAAACCAATTGAATCCACAATAGATTCAATAGCATTGCCAATGCAAGGACATCTCACCAGCACAGTTGCAGTTTCTGAAAGCTCAGTTAAAAATGTACTTTGGTCAGCCATGATATTATCCTTGGCACCCATTCGAACAAAAATTCGGTCCACAGGTGACAAATCAAAACTTTTGGCTGGAACATCAGCTCCTACCTGCAAAAGGAACTAAATGAGTGACTTTAGAGTTAAAAGAGAAGCCTATTTAACAAAACCCTATGATGCCTACTCTCCCACTCCAAAAGAAAATTATTGGGTTACAAACATCTATAATCTCGGTTGTACAAGGGTTCAATAGAAAATGCCAGTCGCTTGATATATTAGATTGGGGTCTAAGTGTGCTGTAGCTTTCAAAATATTTGTGTTTCTAATTCTGTTACTCTTGTTGGTTAAAAAAAAAATTCTCACTCTTTTTTAACAAAATTCTGTCACTCTAGGCTAGGGAACAAGCCATACATATATAAAAGAATCTCCCCAAAAGATTTAGAAAAAAAAAATTGAAGCAACATGAATGAAAACTTAACCTGGGCCAAAATCACTGCCAAGCAAACTTGGCGAAGAAGCGTCGACTTTCCACCCATGTTAGGGCCAGTTAGAAGTATAAAGCTTGCCTGACGTGGACCACCAATGGTTATGTCATTCGGTACAAAGGCACCCTTGCCTAAATAATCACTCCCAAGGACTGGGTGTCCTAAACCTTTAGCAGAGAGGCATGGAGTTTCTTTTGTGCATAGTGAGCCTAAGAATCTTGGTTGGCATATTGAACCTTCATAGTAGTCACCGGCAATTGCTAAGCTGATCAAAGCATCCAGCTCTGCAACATTTGAAATCCAATTTGAGCCCAAATCAAATCACTCACGACATGCATCAAATCAAATGTTCTAGACATGCACCTCACTCAATTATACCTTTCTTTCTCATTGGTTATCTCACTGTCTCATTATAAGTGGGCAAAAGATGCTAATTTACACCTATTAGACATCCTCCAAGGGAAAATGGGAAGTCATTGATTTAATTATTGATGTTATGATATTGCAATTTATACTTTCAATTGCAGTCCAATACACTCACTGAGAATCCTAGGCATCCACTTTTTTATTGCACTGTCATTAAAAACACAGTCAGTTGGGTAGAACTACAGTCAACATACCAGCAGTAGCAGACACTAACTGCCTCCACTTAGTATGATGTTCGCAAAAACGACAAACTAATCTCTGTAAAATAGTTTTCAATGAGGACTCCTTTTCCTGTTCTCCTTGGGAAAGCTTCCCCAGTAACTTTTTAATATCTGGAGTCCAGTACCTGAAAAAACCCTACATGTACAAGATGGAAGAATGAAAGATCAATTACTTTATAAGGAAAGCCAATTTATGCTGACCAGCATAATCTTTTGATAGACTTAAAATCCATCTATTGAAGACTAACAAATAATCTCATAATGGTTAATGCTTTTAATTTATAAATGACACTCATACAATTGCTCAAGAATTAGCAGGGCCCCGTGCAAGATGACACCAGACAGTATAACATTACTGCAGACCCAGTTATAGAAATCACAATACACAGCTTGCATTTAACTACACCATCAAAAGTTTGGCTTCTTACCTTTCTGGATGACCTCATCTCATAATCCTGTGGAATATTTCCACTCAAACTTTCTGGCACTTCCAACAGGTATGCCTCCTTTCCAACAGAAACGTAAGTAATCTGTAATGCCAAATGACAACATTCAGATATTGATTAAACAAGCAATGAAATGACTAAACACCAATGATCTCCTTAGAGATCTTACTGAGTTGTCTCGAAGAAATTTCCTTTGTTCCTTGAGATGCTGCAATAGACTGGATTCAATTTCATCAACCATTTTGCAGGCTGAGTCATACTCAGAATCAACTCCCTTGTGAGGTAGTATACGCCCAGAGTTATTGGCTTCATCCCAATCAAAGGCATCCTTGAAATGATCTAAAAGCGTATGAACATCTGGAAGACCTTCTCCTGCACATGACAACAATAAATAAATCAAACAGTTACTCTGCAGTAGTTGAAAAACTATGCTCACTGTATTTTATTATACCAGGTGTTAACAAATGATGAAGTTGCCTAGATTCATTATTGTTCAAAATGACATGAAGCAATGAACATGCTCGTGCCATTAGTTCACATCCACGAAGCGCTGAAACAAACTGTTGCAGTTGTTTCTTTGCTGCATCCTCATACAGAACCACCTTATTAGCATTCCGGCCACTAGCTTCACTGCATTCACAAGTAGAGGAGCAGAAATGATCAGGAGAACCATCAGTTTGGCATGCATAAAATTACATGTAAATGATGCATAAATTTTTATATATGCTGCTTTTACCTACTAGAGAATATGCATGCCAGCAACCGCTCCATATCAGGCAGCCTTGATAATGCTTTCCGGAATTCTAGTGAGGAAGGTAGATTAACTCCCTAAACAGCAAGTAACAATTAGTACCAATGATAAATTTTGTCCATACCAATTCTATAGCCAAGAATGTCAGCTACTATATTTCATTATTTATAACTACAAAACATTAGGCCACTTTCTGATGCAAATCAGGGGCATGACAAAAAAATTCAATAAATCAGAAAACAAGTATTGCCAACACCTGAAAAGAAAATCTGATAGTTTCAAAATCCTGTTTGATTTTACCTAGGTTGTCATAGTAAATGATCTCTCAAAAGCTTAATTATATTTTAAAATCAGAAACAGACTACATAATTTTGAAATTTACCCTTAGACCAGCCACAGCTTCTTGGCGTTCCTTTATTTTCTCTAGATGATATAATGGTCTCGCAAGCCATGTCTTCAGCAATCTCTTCCCAAATGCAGTAACACATTGGTTCAATTGTGCATAAAGTGTGCTACAGGAGATGCATCACTTCAGTAAAAGATAAACAAGTATTTATCATTTTTAAATAAGAAATGTACAGAATGCCCATCATTAGATGACAATACCCTGAAGAATCACCATTTCTGCTATTCTCAAAAATTTCAAGATTCTCCAGGGCTGCAGCGTCTAGAACCATGTATGGTTTGGAAGCAAGACCATCAAAATTGGAAAATGGAAGTATCTCAAATTGTGCAAATCTAAGCAATGACTCATCAAGGAAAGCCTGTTTCAGATAATATAGAGCACCACCCAGTGCTGAAAGTGCACTTCTATTGTCATCGACTGCTCTCACCATCTCCAGCAAAACATCTGGCATGCCACCTATCCCATCACCTTCAACACTAGAAAGACCTGAATTACTGTAAAATCTCTTCAATTCAATAAAAGCTTTCTCAGCATCCCAGAATTCCACATTAGGAACTAATTCATTGACCAGAGGATTTCTTGTATGCTTCCGCAGTACCCTCTCTGTTTCAGCACTGAGCAGTTTAGCAGGTTTTATAATTTCCACTGGCCTAAGTTCAGATAAAATACTGCACAAGGCACTGCACTCTGAATCATCCTCAAACTGTCATACAGAGGTAAACCCTCATTTAAACAGACGCAAAATGAGCAATTAATAGAATAGATACATATCTGAATGATTAGATAATTTATCCTTGATGGTGTCTCATGGATCCATCCAAAAAATAAATTCATATTGTAAACCAATTATGCCATTGACTAAGATAGTAGAGAGTCAAACCTGGCCAAGAATGACTCTGCTCGTAGCAACATCAACTACACAAACACCATAAATACGTTCCAAACTTTCATCTTCCTTGCTTTCATGGCACTCAGTTAAGGCCATTAGATAAGAAGCTTCTGGGTTTACCGACAACAACTCCCCATCAGTTAATGTACCTTTTGTAACCACAGCACATATTTCCCGTTTCACAACCTAAAAGAGAATTATGTCAAGATAATAAAAATATTCCTTTACCAACCCTAAGATATCAACAAGAGGAAATTCTAGCCAGATTCACCATAAAACTATATATAAAAACAGGATGCAAAGAGAATGAATATAAGGTACGGGCATGAGATTGCTTCTTTACAACTTAAACTCCAAAGGGAAAAAAATATGACATTAAAAAACAGAAACAGACAATTTTCACTCTTCAAGGGGAAAAAAGATGACATTGACAAACAGAAACAGTCAATTTTCACTCGACGCAATTGGACCTTATCTTTAGAACCCTTCTTGCGACGAATCTCCAATTGTTCAGGTGTTTCAGTCTGCTCTACAACAAGAATTCGATAGCCCTGCTCTGCCAGAGGAGTTCTAGTAAGAGTTGCAAGTTGGCTTACAAATATGCTCAAGTTCAGTGAAAGAAATAAATAAGAAACTGAGTCAGAAAAGGCAAACCTTCCCAGCCAGTTTCTCCACATTCATTGAAAAATTCTTCTCTGGAAATCCACAATGAGGTTGTTCCCCCTAAAAATGAAAATATGTGTAAACAAATAAGGTACAAGATCCAAGAGCTGTAGAGCTTAGACATATTTTACACAGGCCCTCATAATTTTATTTACACAATTTGATGATGTTAGTGACCAAAGGTGAGAGGCCAAAATTAAAATGCATGTTTAAGAATAAGTAATGGAGCAACAAAAGGTCCTAAAGAGTGTCCAGGACTCTATGGTACTCGTACTAACCTTCATATACTGCAAGTCAAGCTCTTTCACTCCCACGTGTGCATCCATTTCAAAAAGTTCATAAAATTTACCCATCTGCTCCAACCAAAAAGAAGTTTCATTAGACTGAAGTGTGATGGCACCAAGAAAACCTTTTGTTTTCCACTTATGGCACCAAGAAAAATTAGCCACACTAAATTACCTTAAAAAACAGAACTTTGTCCATATGCTTTGACTTGAACTCCCACCATTGTTTCTACATTCATCAGGCAACCTTATTAATAATATTCCACAATAAGCATTTCAGAGTCTTATTGAACTATTTTAGAAGCAATCACCTGCCCATCGGACAAACTCTTTAAGAAATCAGGAGGCAGATATAGGGTCTTTGGATCATAGTTTTCATCTCCTGGACGTCTTCTTCTGGCATCCTTTCGATTTCTGTTTCATTAGATACAAAGCACCATAAAAATATTATGATAAAAGACGGCAAAGAAAAGGCCAGACAAAAAGTAGCAGCAGCAGCAACAATAATAAAAATAATTGCTTATAAATGTGAATTAAAGGAAATCGCCATTGTGTTCTTGCCAGCACTTACACTCGGAGGAAATGCAATTTCTCAGCTTCACGTGCTGCAAATCTTTCGGGGGCATCGCCAGTTGCAACACAACCAATTTCATTAATGGCCTTTTTACCTGCATAGAGATGACTTAAATTTAACCGTTATTCATTCCACTTTCCAGACTTTTATTGAACTCCGATGGGGATGCATCATCACATTCCCTTTGATATGCATAATGCGCATTTGTGCTACCAACTAAGTGGTGCTTTTGCTCCTTGATTACTATCTTATTTGACAAACAATATATGCAGTTCACTCATACATCTGAAATTCAAATTCCCAAGATTAAGCGAATAAACCAAATAGGCAGACCTCAGTTCTTAATTGATATTCCCCTCAACGTCAGATAACGTGTCTCAAAAAATAGCGATCCTTTAAAGCCACCCTAAGAAATAATTAAGCGATGAGGAAAAGAAAATAAGAAGGAAAACATGCAAACCCTGCCCTCCAACACCTTCCTCGATAGATAAAGTTCAAACATACTTGACCACTTACTGTCCGAATTACTTTTTTGCTCCGGCATTGAAACCTTGAAACTTCCCTTCCCAAATTCTACTGCGATCTTGCTCTTTTTTGCAGGTCCCCGTTTCTCTCCCCCACTTGGTTTCCGCTTTGTGGGCTTTGTGGGCTCAAACTTCTTACCTCCTTTTGCTTTAGGCCTCTCGGCTACATCCTCCTCGTCTTTCAGCTCCATGTCTTCATCAGAGTCCTCGGCGTCGTCCGCAATCTCATTCTTCCCCCAATCATCGTCGCTAGAATCGTCGTCATGACCGTCATCACCACTGCCTTCTTCTTCCCTGACACCAGCATTCTCTGCTCCCTCATCCTCAATCACCATTTGCTTCGAAGCACAAAAGCCACGACGCAGCCGTTTGAACTTCTTCACAGTCTCTTGAACCCACTCAATCTTCTCCTTGGCAAGGTCCAATGATTCCTCTTCATCATCATCGTATAGAACCAAATGCTTGCCTGTGTGCTTATCAAATGAGCCGACACAGCCTTCATACCAGGTTTTATCCAAAGGCCAATAAACCTTGATCCTTCTTCCGACAACCTCTTGGCCGTACGGTAGGCTATCCAATGGTGGTGAAGACGAGGGGGTGGGTCGAGACGGAGAGTGGGGTGATGAAGTGCCGATGAGAAGAAGAGGTTTGTTGCATCTTGGATTGGGAGGGGAAGGGGAAGGTGTAGAAGGGCTGGGGCTAGGACTGGATTTTCGATCAGTGATTCGGCTAGGGCTTAATTTCTGCTTGGAGAGAATGGAGGGGGGCGAAGGGTTAGGGTTAGCTTTCTGCTGGGCAGGAAATGAAGGAGGAGAAGAAGTGGTTTTAGAAAAGAAGGATGTAATTTGACGCTGAGGATTGACTAGGGGCGATCGACCATTGCTCTGACGACGTGAGGAGGACATTGCTGAGGAAGAAGAGTGAGGCTGTGTTGTGGGGAACTGAAGCAAACACGAAGAACGGCGAGCGCTTTTCAATACCAGGGAGGACCTGAAACCTGGCGGGAAATTACGGTACTTTTCCCGGGAACCGCCAATTTCGGTGAACGGGACAGGCAAAGGCCCATGCTCTCGCTAAAATGACTCGTCCATGTTACCCCGCAATATCGCAGGTCCAGATCCGAATGCCCCTGTCATAGGTCAATCTGTACCCAAACAAAAAACAAAAAAACAAAAAAAAACCTTCTTCGGCGGTAAATTGGGGCTGGGGGTGCATGCTTCAACACGGTCCACCATTTTTTTTTTATATACAAGCACATGACTTTTACTCATATTTTAAATCAGACAACAAAAATACGAAAATAATAGTTTTCATACAAATCCTTTCAATGCTGCAATAATGCCCCGTTTGGTACAGGAAATTCTTTTTTTTGAAGAGGTAGAAGTAGAAGTGAAAGTGAAGTTTAAAAATATGTTTGATATAGAAATAGAATTGAGATTAAAATTTTATTTTATATTATCTTTATATTTTGAAAAGGCCAAATTCTGTGCAGGAGCTCTACCCATTTCCAAAGAAAATTGAAGTTGCGTTTAGCGATCATGGAAATGAGAACAGGAGTAAAATCGGTCCAGAAAATGTTTGACTTTTTCCAAATTTGGTAAAATTGAAGATATGTCGTTCATTTACCAGCTGAGATTGAAGAAAGTTGAGGAGGAAGTGATGCCATAGGAGGAGGAGGGTGCATCGGTCACCGGAGGGGGAAGCATCGCGATGGTGAGGAAGAGCATTAGGAGAAGAGGGGAGACATTATGATGGTGGGAGAGGGCATTGGGAGAAGACGTACGATAGCAAGGAGGGGCAAGAATTGTCAATTGATGAAATAATCGAGGATATATAGAGGTCAAAAAATTTCACTTCCAGGGAACTAAAGTCAGTTTCATCGGCTATAGCAAGGGGCTCAATTCCATCAATTTTAATATTTATAGAGAGAATGAGTTTTAATATACCAAACACTCTAATTTTATAATTTTACTTTCATTTTTCACTTTCCAACTTTCAATTCCTATGCACCAAACAAACATTAAGAAGACAAAAAGTAGAATTCCCAACAAACAAAACCTAGCAGAGTGTGAAGCATGTCGTATGTATACCATACACTGATCTAATACTAATAACGGTCAAGCACATGAATAATTAATTAAAGATTTTAACTGAGATGAAATAAATGTTTACTATACCCAGGCCCCACCCCAGATGCAACTAGAAATTGGATATATATATATATATATATATATAGGGCGGAACCAGCTTTAAAAATCAGAGGGGAATTTTAAAAAAATAAATCTATATTTAATTTTTAAAATTAATTTTATTAGTTAAAATATATTATTGTATTAATTATTATAAGTATAATTACATAAATATTTCAAGAAAATTGAAAAAAAAAAAACACAAGATACCATATATCAAAATAACTAAATATAATATATATTCTTATTAATATATATTCTCTTCAGTCTTGTTTATAAGTCACTCCAAGCATTTTTATCAAAATTAAAAAAAATTTAAACCCCATTAACTTTATTTAAAAATTTAACATATTTTTTACTTTATTCTTATTAAATATACATACTTTAAAAATAAAATACTCTAGTGTTTAATATTAGTCCCAACATTTAATATGAGCAATGATAAAAATAGACACAATATTCATTACAATATCTTATAAATAGAATCAAAATAAGTATTCTCTTCCTGCCTTATGCATAGGACCAAAGAAATACACAAAAAATATATGCATATTGTGTTATATACATAAAATACCTTAATTAAAAAAAAATACATGGTGAGTTTCTTTTTTAGAGAGGTTGCAACTAGCAACAGACGCCACCCTCCTCTTGTATTGTTTGAGGGGCTCATGGCCCCAAAGACCAACATAGGTTCATCCCTATATATATATATATATATATATATATATCAGTGAATTTTATATTTAATATAATTTTTAAGTGACACTATTTTTTTTTACTGTTTTGTGTGACATCTTATAAAATTTAATTTAAGGTTAATGGATTATTTAAAGATAAATTAAATAATTGAGAGTTAACTTGGATTAAAAGATAATGTATAAAAGACTAATGGGTTTATCGAACCCTAATTAAGGCTTAGAATTGGACCTTAGAAGGTATTAAGCCACATTTGAGCCCAATTAAATGGTTAGTGTTTGGAATTTAAAATTTTAATCTTTGACTGCAGCCAAAACTCAATTTTTAAGCCTTTAAAATCATATTCCATCTCAAAAAATTAAAGAATTGAGTGGAAGTCCGAAGGTGAGCGAGGAAAGCTTTGCTAGGGTTTGTTGTGGGCATCGAATTAATTCTATTTGAAGCTTTTAATTGCCTAGGTAAGTGCTGACAACCTCTTCTCTTTCTCTTTTATGCATTTTCATCGTGATTTTTAGGTAGTTCCTTCAAAATCCAAAAATAAGCGGTGAGTTTGCTTAAAATTCTGACTGTAATGAGATTAATGAAAGTTTATTTAAGTGTCTAACATTTGGGTTATAATTCTATCAATATTTTAGGATTTCAAAGTGAGATTTGGAGTAAACCCTAGAGTTGTAGTTGAGCTAGAGAGGTTATGAGGTATTAGTGATGTTAATTAGATTAATAAATGCCTAAGTGAACTAAAGGAACTTAAAAATGAATTTGGTTGTGGGTAGATGATCAAAATGAGATGTTTAGATTTAGGCTTTAATTAGAGTTAATTAAAGATAATTAGCTATTAATGACTATTGATGTGTTTGATTATAGATTGATCATTGTTAGTGCCATTGAACTTCTTGGAGGCTTCATTGGACATTCACGGGTACTCTTGGTTGGTAAACCAACAGTTGAGATAATTGAGAATTTAAGTATAGTATATCATTATGTTTTCATTTACACTTTAAGCATTATTATAGATAGTTTGAAATGAGCTTATGGATGAATATGTTAATTTTAAACTATTACCCAAATGTGAAACACGACTCATTATGATGAAGTATTTAGTGATCATATTTATATAGATGTTATTTAATATTTGAAATATGAATTGGGCTTTGATTGGCTGTGAGTTGATTATATAACGAGCCACTGTAAACTATAATATGATGTAAACTGCGATAAGCATGCAAGTTTTAGAAATTATACTGATGATGAATCACTATGATATGTATGAGTTTAAATTCACATATGTTGATTGAATTATGATCACAATGGGTGGGAGATCACCATAGCATGGTAGAGGGATTATGATAGAAAATACACGTGGTATAGCCTCTACTGAGTTTGCACATAGTGGTTGGCATACTTCATTATTATATGTGCTTAGTATTGCTGACAACCTACGGGTGTGATATGGGTCGAGCATGATGCTCAGTCTCACCAATCCTGGATTAAACGGTATGGGTCGAGCACACCTCGAAATTTAAGGAAAATCTATGGTCCGAAAGTGAGTGTGGGAACCTTCAGCCGGGTGACCCTTCATAGTTAGAGAGAGGGGCTAGTCTGGTCACATGGGCTAGACTTACATGAGATAATAGCCCATGGATTTGGTTAGATGATATAAAGAGTAGTATAAGGCAGTTATATTTGATCATGTAAAACACATTATAAAGATGCATTGTGAATAATGTCGATTTGCCTTATGCGATATTAAACGCTTAATTGTTATGGTTGCCACACTTTAATATGCTTGATTTAATTACTTGATTATTAAGATATTTATCTCACTCCCATAGTTTAATGTTTACAGGCAAGGATCAAGCTAAGAGCAAAGGAGAGGCCTATGAAGCTAGAGACTGAATAATCAATTGTAATATTTTTAGTTTTATCTTTTATGTGTAACTTAAATGCAATATTTTTAGCTAGATGTCTTTCATATTGAATTATGTTTGTTTGAAGTCTACTTGCATTTGTAATCTTAAATATTGAACTTAGTCATTTTTAGACTTTTTTAGCCATAGAAGGGTCCAAACCCCTAATCCAACCATGGTAGTGTGCCAAGATAGTTTAAACAAGTATATCTTGACAAGTTAGATGAGTTTAACATGTCTTGAGTAATTATTTAGCTTAAATGCAAATAATTACATTTTTACTTTTTTACTTTTTTATCATGTGCTTTATGGTGGTTGGGTGGTCAACTCTTGTATTAAGAGTTGTTTAATGATTATAACTATTTGGACAAGTATATTAAAACTTATTGAGTGTGGCTCAAGCTCTTGTATAGGCTAATGGCTTATGGTTTGAGATTTTGACACTTAGTTGATGGTTTAGATATAAAAGTGTGAAATTATGGTTTTAGGTGTTCAAATTCTTCGTCTGATATCGGATTGACATGAAAGCAAAACCATTAGCTAGATTATAAAATGTTTGAGATGTGAGTACTTGAATCACTTCAATTAGAGGTCCGAATCAAAAGTTATACTCGTCAAAAGTTTATGGTTGAGGAGTTATTAAGATAGTTGCTGTCATATCTTTAGCCATGGTTAGAAGATTTTCGGCTGCAACTAAAGGACTTCTTAAGACCATTTGGCTGTAGTCAAGAGAGAATTGGTTGCGGCCAAAAGCTTCACTGGAAGTATTGGCCACGGCTTAATGTTCTCTGGCCACAATCAAGTACCTCTGTTAAGCAAAAATGACTCTTTTTACTTCATTTTGACTTATTTTCAACTCTAATTATTATTCATGCTTTCCAAACACTTTTTACTTCAATTTATAATGGCTAAATGACTTTTTAAATTCAATTTTGAGATTTAATAATTTATAAAATTCTATCTCTACAGGGTTTTCTTACTTAGCTTTTTGAGTTTTTAATACAGTTAAGGTTGATCTTTTTCTTTTCATAACATTTTTATTATTAAATTAGTTATAAATATTAAGATAGCTCAATCTTAAAGTTAAGTATGTGCTATTTATTAAAGTTAAGTATGCGTTAATTATGTATTTAAGAATTTGAGGTCTTACGCTTCGTTCATGATTTGTTTCTTCAACGGCACGTATATTATCTGCAATGTCTATTTTAATTGTAATAACTAATATATAGTTCCAGGTCAAACTATTTGACCGCCTATCAAATTACTGGAATCATCACCGTTGGACCATGTTACTTAAATCTCAAGTTTTATTTATTTACTGTTCTCTTTCTATGAAACCCCTTACAAATCATTAAAATGGAAATGAAACCTAAATCTCTATCCGGTTAAATTATGAAGGTTTCAATAATGAACAGAGATATTGTTCACAGAAGAATCCTGGTTCAAGCAATCCTATTCTATTAAAAAATATAAAATTTATTTTTAAAAAATTAAATGTTAAAAAATAAAAGACATTTTTAATTTTTTAAAATATAATTATTATATTTTTTTAAAATCGCTCATACTAAATAAATTACTTTATATATTTTAAAATAAAATATTCTATTAAATAGGAATAAATATAAATAAATTAAATTAATTTGGAAATAAATAATTATTTTGTTAAAATAAAATTTAATTAAAAATATTTTATATTTTTTAAAGAAAAAAAAGTAAAAAATACAAGCCTTGTTTATTTTCTATTATATTATCCTGGAATTCTTGCCGCCAACTTCCCATTGGAAGCCTGCATCTCCATTCAGTATATACGTATATATGCGGATCGACATAACTTTAAGAATTCTCCACGCCCGCAGCAGAGGCCGATCATCGTAATGATTGAAAAATTCCGACATGAATCTCTGCTCATCTCTTGTCATCCTGATGGCATTGGTTTGTGCCTTTCTTTTTCCCCCACCTGTTTTCAGTTTTTCTGGGTTATTTTACAGCGCAGTATCTCTCTGTATCTCTGTATCTTCTTTGCTTGTCCCCTGTCAAGATACTTGTTTCATTTTCTCACGGAACGCACGAAAAAATTGAAAACTATTCAAGGACTTGTTTTTTAAAATTGAAACCATCTTGCTGAGAAACAGTTCTTTATTTTTTGTACTCCGTGTATTTGATCTTAAAAGCTTAATTGACATCGAATCACGAACAGTTGACGCAGGCATCTGATGCACTGATAGTCTCAGTCTCATTGATACCATGCTGGTATGTTCTGCTTAAACATACCGAGCAGCTCGCGATCATGGATGAGAGCTCACAAGTCAGTCTGTCTGAAACGCAATCTGAAATTGATGGCTTAGCTAACTGTCACGCGCTATGAATTCATCCTCCATCGGAATGGCTCGTCAACACTTAAGCCTGTCTTTGGTTACCAAAGATGGAAAAGCGCACGTGCACGAGATCCAACGGACAAATGTGGCCTGCTCTAATCACATAGTTTCCTTCTTTGGTCAAAAAAAAAAAAAATCACATAGTTTCCTTCCAGTCACTGAACCCAGATGGTAACCCACTAACTAAATGCGGGCCCACTCCTGTCTCGTGCAAGGATAAAGCTATTATTTCCGGTTTCAATATCCTGGGCACTCAGTATTTGCTTTACTGCTCCTCCCTTGATTGGATGGGCGATTCGGTGCGTTATACTTTCTCTGTTTTTTTTAATAACATCCATTCTGGTCTTCTAAATACGTTATAGCCATTCATCATGTTTCATGAAATATGACGTTTCAGGTGCACGCGTCGGCCATCCCGCAAAATGGATTATCGAGCTTTGTTCAAAAGAGTAGAAAGGAGGGATTTAAGCTACTGGTCCCAGTGACAGTGATGATAATTTTTTCATTGTCGAGTTTTCTAATTATAAACGGTGGAGCTGCCATGCGAGAGAAGCGTTGGCTTGCTCCACTGATCAAGCAGATGGAAGCAACTCAACAGGCAGAGAGGAGAAATATGAACAAGAACCTCACCTTAGCTTGTGCCAGCCATGATATTCGTGCCTCTCTCGCCGCCCTTGCTGGTTTGATACAGATGTCGTATCATGAAGCTGTCCCAGGTTCAGAATTGGACACCAATTTAAAGCAAATGGATTCTTGTGCCAGAGACTTACTAGGTAAATTTATCATTGACTGTATTTCTCACCCAGATAATATACAAATTTCCATGGCACGCCAAACATAATGTCTTTGTTTGTTTGTTTTTTTTTTTGTAGGATTGTTGAACTCTATACTTGACGCCAGCAAGATTGAGGCTGGAAAAATGGAATTAGAGGAAGAAGAGTTTGATCTTCCCCAAGTTTTGGAGGATGTAGTTGATTTATTCCATGCTGCGGCTATGAAGAAAGGTGTGGATCTTGTATTGGACCCTTGTGATGCTTCTATTATCAGATGTTCCCGCATGAAAGGTGACACAGGAAAGCTTAAGCGAGTTTTAGTAAATTTGCTAAGCAACGCCGTTAAATTTACTGATGAGGGGCACATAGCAGTTCGAGCATGGGGTCAGAAGTCAATGACCGCTTCTAACCGTCACAGCCTCATGAAGCATTTATCGTGCTCATTTTATAAGGAGAGTGAAAGGCATAGAAACCCAGAAGCTGTGAATGCAATCCATGGGGACCCTAATGTCATGAATTTTGTGTTTGAAGTGGATGATACCGGAAGAGGAATTCCTAAAGAGAAACACAAGTATGTGTTTGAGAATTATGTTCAGGACAAAGAAACTGCCCTCGGACGAGTAGGCACTGGCTTGCGGCTTGGTATCGTGCAATCGTTGGTAGGTAGTAGGTTCCCCCGCTATATACAAGACACTTATCTTATTACTTACATTTAAAATATAACTTCAATGAAATGAATGAATCTATTGTGATTTGTTCTAGGTACATTTGATGCATGGAGATATAGGAATTGTGGAAGAGGACATGGGAGAAAAGGGAACTTGTTTCAAGTTCAATGTACTCTCTTACTGCGTGTGAGAAAGTCACAGGTGGCGATAGCACAAGGGAAGGTATTAACAGGCACCAGCCTCGGGGACAGACTTTTCAAACTCCTAGATCCTGTCCAAGGCCAGGGGGTTCCATGGTTGTTCTTTCCATTCAGTACGAGGAGCGTCGAAGGACATTACAAGACTTCATGGAGAGCTTAGAGATTGAAGTTATGGTCGTGAACCAGTGGGAACATCTGTCTAACACTCTCAAGGAAATCAAGCAAAGGGGGAGCCACTCCGGCGAAAGTTTTCCTGGTCTGAGTTCTGAATCTAGGGCTCGGAATTCTACTGCCAAAGACAACGGAGTCCTTACCAGTAATAAGAATGGGGATACTGCTATGGGTTTTATTCTGATTGTGATTGACGCAAATGCAGGACCATCTGTAGAAGTTTGCAGAATGGTTTCTGACTTCAGAAGAGGCTTTCTCAGTCCTTGTAAGGTTGTGTGGATAAACAAGCCACTCATGCGTGGTGTCAATTACAATGCCCCTGACGAGGACATTTTGATCCAGATGACATAGTCACATTCAAACCATTTCAGGGGACTCGTTTGTTTCAAGTTATGAAGCTTCTTCCTGAATATAGGCAAAGCAGTTCTAGCAAAGTAGAAAGAGAGAGTGATGGACTTCCATTTCAAAGGGTTGAAGAATTCAGGAAGGGAAGTCAGACATCGTCAGGAGATCAATCTTATGGTAGGCACGGAGCAAGAAATTCTCCCGATCATCAAGGTGAAATTCAAGAATGCGTTGACCCGAGCTTCGAAAAAGCCTTGAGGGGCAAGAGAATTTTGCTCGTTGAGGACGACGAATTGCCACGCAAGGTAGCTTCCCATGCTCTGAGACGGCTGGGTGCGATCGTTGAGCAATGCCAGAATGGCAAGCAAGCAGTGACTTTAGTTGATGATTGTCTGGCAAAGGCTATTCCTTATGATTACATATTAATGGACTACGAGGTAACTGTGACTACGATTTTTAATACATCTTTGATTTGATTTGTATGAGGGTGCGTGTGGGCGAGTGTTTTACTGCTTTTGATTATGTATAATATTAATGATGATTGAACAGATGCCCGTGTTCGACGGATTTGAGGCAACAAGGCAGATTAGAAAGGTGGAAAAGGCGTAAGGCGTTCGCATTCCTATCATCGCTTTAAGTGGACATACGTCAGGGAAAGAGACAAGGGCGACCATAGCGGCGGGAATGGAAATGCATTTAGGCAAACCCATTGTCAAGGAGCATTTGTTGGAAGCCATCAGATCCATTCGCAGCAAGAGGGCTACTATGTTTAACCTTCGATATGATCGTTTATTCGTTTAGCATGCATGATAGTTTTTATTTAAGACATATCTACGATTTGTAGTGGCAAAATGTGCAGATATTACAGTGCCTGTGTAGTAATACTGACTACTGACGAGAATAAAATATTATTAAAATATTTTTTGGCCACAAGAATTAAACAGATGTTAAAACAGCCTACTTGGTAATGAGAATAAATTTCAGCGCATTTGTAGTGCTTGATCAAGTTGAAATACAACAGAATAAACCGATTAGGAGGGATATCAGTGCCCAAGATAAAAATTGAACAAAATAGTCAATTACTGTAATTGCTATTGTTTTATTATAATACCAGACGCAGGAATAGAATGAAACAATCAAGTGTTATTACCCCCCCCCCAAAAAAAAAAAGAATGAAACAATCAAGTGATTGTTATTTATTCGAGCCATCCCACCATTATTCACATAAGCATTTCCACCAAAATCATTTCAGGCTTTTAATAAAACCAAACAGCCTTGAGATGTCAAGTCATGCATGGCACACAGGTGGGTGCCCTATATAATTAGTTCCACAAAAGATGAGTACTGGCCAAAACCATAATGTTTAATGAATGGATTACTCCAAACTAATCACACATAAAGGGTGCCACCAGAACTGTGGGAAATGCTGCATGCGTTGTGGATACGAACGATCAAATTGATCACCGGCTCCGCTACTAAATAATGTATAGGACAAGATTTCGGTTTAGCTCTCAAGTTTCTTTGCCAACTTCGATTGTATAAGTTTGTCCAAAATCGGAGGCTCCAGAGGTATTGGATCAAGACACCGCTCTGCAGCAGCAACAATGACCTGTGCCCCCGAGATGCAAAATATATAGATGCAGACACAAAGAGAAGCGAAGAAAGAGTTAGTAATCAGCTCACCACAACAAATTACCGTAAGAAAACAAAATTTCTGCAGAGTGAAGTAGGGAACCAAGTAGGATTATTTTTCCAACCTCATCAAGTAAGAAGTCCATTGCAGCTTCATCTTCAACAGCTTCCCTTAAAGGAGTCCTCAGGAATTGAATATCCAACTGAATTTGCTGAAATCCACTCCGGTTAAAAGTCTGGAGTCGGACAAATTCCTGCAGACTTTTAAGGCACAGTTTAACTATGGTAGTAACAACGGATCCCTGCAGTTTGCAAGCAAACTCTGTATGAGATGGTTTGGAACTGGTTAATTAAAATTTAAAAGGAACACATAATTTTAAATCTCTACACTTTACTCGCGTTTCGCTATTGGTCCCTGCATTTTTTTTAATATTTTAGGTCCCTACACTTTTATTTTTCATTGTTATAGGTCCCTACATTTTGTTCATGGAAAGACCTAAAATAATGAAAAACAAAAGTGTAGGGACCTAAAATATTAAAAAAAAAGTGCAGAGATCAATAATAAAACATGAGCAAAGTGTAGGGGCCCAAAATTATATTTTTCAAAATTTAAATCACCTCAACAACAATTATACAATCAATACCTGTGTATATTCTACTTTAGAGAAAATCTCAACTTTCTGTTTAAATAGTTTTGCTAGATGTGATTCCAAAAGCTGGCTCCTTGCCCTCTGAGCATTTGACCGAACTAATTTATCCTCTAGCAAGGCGTTGCTCCTTGATGAGCTACTACTTCCATTACTCCCAGCCCTATGGTGTTTGCGGGTACCTTGAGGCAAAAGTTGCTTCGCTTCATTGACAATAAATTGCAGCTGGAAACGAATATATAAGAAATAAAATTAAAGATAACTTACTTTGCTTCGACTTCAATTAATTACTGCAGTCAAATTTATCCAATACAGGTTTATTAAATGTTTGTGCTGATATGTTTCAGATGATGACAAATGACAAGTATTAAAGTACAATTCTCGAAAATATAGTGACTAGAAAGACGTCAATAATGGAATAAATAATTGAAAAAAATACAGATGTACCAACCTCTTGAAGAAATAAATCCACAAACATATGAACTTCTCTAGGCTCCTTATGCTGTGCAAAGCACAGAAACACTTTGTCAAGTTCTTCTAAAATCTAAGCACTTAGAATTCATGTTTGAAACAAAGGCATGAACCAAACTGACCTTCACCCAATTAGGTGTGGTAAACCGCTTCTTCAAGAGAAGTGAAATTCTCAGAGTTCTCATATTTATGTACTGAAAAGAATAAATGATCAAAGTCATAAAAAAAGGTAGAACGGGTGAAAAAAGACAAATCAATCAGAACTTCCCTGAACTCAGGACAACATTTAACCTCCCAAGAAACACCAGCCAGCTTCTTCCATGAAAAAGTGGCAGCTGGACAGCAAAGATATGCAGGAGACTGTTTCCCAGCTTGTTGCACACAAAGCACTCATTTTAGGAGAAAGCTAACTTGTAGATATTAACACGTCCAATGCCATAAGGGTATGTTTGGTAGAAATGAAAACGGATGGGATGAAAACACGTAGCCTTCTCTAAGAATTGAAAAGTTAAGCGGAATGAGGTAACAATTACCTCTCAAACGCTCACATTTTATTCACCATCCTATGGGGATATTGGTAATGGAGGGAGCAGCTTACTTTGATTTTAGAAGGCAGTGCAATTTACTGTTTCATCTTTCTAACTAAATAAAAAAGATCTCAAAAGGGTTATATTTGTGTTTTAAGTATTTTCCCCCTTATATTTCTCTTTAACTGTCCAAACTGCAGAAGTTTAATTTTTTTTTTCCCATACCATCATTCCTTTTCCATCCCGTACCTTCATTTTCTATTCCATCCCCTCCACTCTGAAACTTGCATAAAATCTAAAAACTATCCTTGGACTTCTGCAACTGTGGCATTTGGTATCTTTAAAAATACTTCAAGACTCAAACATTATTTTGAGTCAAATTCACTATTCACACAGACACTGCCAAAACCAAATGGCTGTTCATATTTATTATCTTCTGTTCATGGGAAAGAAACATACAAACGGCAAAAACATGGGAAAGAAAAATTTAACAAAAAAAATTATTGAAACCAAGAAAACAAGGATGATTCACGCAAGTGATCTGTGCAAATTGGAGGCCTATTGAATGAAAATATGAAATTAAAACTATACCAGGTGCAGGAATTTTTCACCAGCCGATTGAAACTTTTGACAAATTTCTCCAGGAATAAATGCTGGTCCATACACAAGGCCTCTAACACCACAACCAGAAAAGCAAACTTCTAATTCCTGAAAAATACAAGGATTTGTATTTCATACTCCTGAGGTTATGGGAGTTAAATTAACCATATATTGCTGTCTTTTCAGGAATCTAATCTAAGCTCATCAGGTGAATTCTTGCCTCGGTAATTTTTGCAATAGCAGTTTGTCCAATAAAAGCAGAAAGTTGTGCTAGCACTAGGACAAGACCAGCGAAAGCTTTGTCACCTTGAGCTCCCTGAGTCAAACTATGATCTGGAATGGCTGAAGAATTATTGCTTTCTGAAAATAAATGGAACTGATCCTCAAGTTGCCTGAAAAAGTCTAGAAATCCTTCTTTAACCAAATCAATAATTAACTCCCTTAGTCTAACCAAAAGGCCTGAGTCATCATCTAGAACTTTGCAGAACTCCTGGAATGGTCCATCCCCAAAAAGCAAAAACAAGAAGCAAAATATGTGAATAAATAAATTATAAGAAAACCTAATTATGGAATTTTATGCACATAAGCAAACTATATCCAGCTGAGCAAACAAATGTGCGTACAAATAAGATATTCCTGCTGCCTTCAAGAACAGCTTTTGAGCTACCATCTAAAGCATCTTCCAGAGAGTACTCTGCTCCATCTTTTTTCAGAACCTTCAAGAGGAAATCTACCAAACAGAAAACTCAGATTTTGATCAAATGCATTTTTCCACTAATGGGAATCAGGTGAACATGAACAAAATATTAACCATCTGTCTAGATAAGATTAGAGTCCCTAACAATTTAATGATTTTTATATCGTTTCATTGATTGTTTCACAAACAGTCACCTTGTTACAAACTGATTCTAAGTTCATTTTCTTCCTTTTCTTATGTGATAAGGTTGATATTCAAAATATGATGCCATAACTAGAATTCACAAGCCTTTTGCAAAGATAGTTATGAAGTAACCTGAGACGTCTTGCAGAAGATGAGAAAATGTGCTGCTAACATACAACTTCATGGAAACTTTGGCAGCCTGGAAATAAAGGGTTAATCACTGAAATCAGTCATGGAGATATGAACTTAATAAGGATTATTTTCTGAAGAAAAACAGGGAGAAGGGCTGTAGGCATAAATAGGATTTCAGCCGGTAGTAGTATGACCTCAAGAGAATAGTTAGAGAGATCTGCCTCCTGTAAGACTTTATCCATCTGGAGCATGTCGTTCCAAATAACTCCTGTGTTCAGATTAAGCGTCGTACGTACTTTAAAGAAATCATCAAAGCATGAAAAGCTAATGGTATCCAAAATTAAACAGTACCGAGTTAAAGTAGCATGTACACAAATTGATATTTTCGAAAATGGCCAATGGGTAGATTTTAGAAGAACCAATTGAAATAATAGATTGATTCCATGTTATTAAAAAAAAAAAAACTAAATTAAACTTTTCTCCACGCCATGACAATTTCACGTGAGAAGATCTCCGTGTTTGAAATAGCACTTTGCTGTAAAGACCAAAAAAAAAAAAGAAAGAAAGAAAGAAAAGAAAAGAAAAGAAATAGAACTTTGCTAAATCATTGCAGGATTATTAAAGCAGGTGAAAATATTAACTTTTGAGAATATTGCAGGAAATAACATTTATATTAGCAAGAAAATAGGGATTTCAAAGTATTCCGTTGAAGGCATTGTCTCAATCATCTAATACAATTTTGCATAAAAGAAGTACAACAGTTTAAATCAATGGTTATAAAAACCTACCATGTATCTGAAAATAAAACTTTCTTTAAATTAGTTTAAATATAAAATTGGAGACAAAAGTCTTTATATTAATATAAAAATTTAAATATGAGAAAAAACAATTGTAATCATTCACATGAAAGCTAATACAAGATCGCAAACATAGTTGATTCATACTCAAGGTAGGGGTCAAGATATAAGTTGCCAGGTTTAAAAACCAAGTGAAATAATCACCCTCTGCCTTGATAGTTGGGAGGGGGAAG